GATTTGTTGAGTACTCTGTTGATAAGTATTGATTGAGTAGTGACTATGAATAGTACCTAAATAATACCATTTATTGAATTTTGAGCATTTGAGGGGAAAATGTTAACATTCTTTATATGATTTAATCCATATCTCTGTTGGCAGCAAAACTAGCACTAGGTATTAGACCAGTGGGGTCAGACCAAACTTGAGTTCTGGCTAAGAAAGAATTAAGAGCCAAGGCTCAACCTATAAGAAATAATTTATTTAGAAGTCACAGAAGTGGGAGACAGGACAGGAAGTGATTAACCAAAAAACTTATATACATATGGACACAGACAACAGTGCAACGAAGGTCTAGGGAGGGGGCAGGAGCCGGGTTGGGGGCAAAGAGGGACATCTGTAATACTTTCAACAATGAAATAAATTAAAACAAACAAACAAACAAAAAGTAGAAAGTCACAGATTGAAGAAATGGGCTCAGGAAACAAGTTACAGAGGCAAAAAGGGCCTTTGGGGTTTAGGAGAAAGAGATGCGAGGAAAATGTGCCTGGGGAAAGGCTCAGAAGAGAGAGCTCTATGGAGAGAGCCACACTGAGTCCTCCGTCTGGAGGGTATTTGTCTGAGGTCTCCTGGGAGGATCCCAGGAGAATATTCATCAGTTTTCCAGGCGTGTCCTTTCAGGTCGTGGTCTCCACTGATGGGTTGGAACCAGGACAGAGAGTCATTAGTCAGTGCAGCTGGACTTGAGGTCAGCCATGGTGTCGCTTGTCTGGTTTGTTGGTTTTCTGGGCCTAGATTAGGAAACACAGTGGAGGCCTAGATGTGTTTGATGTGTGTGAGAATCATATTGTTCTGGGGATCTAACCCACATGAGCATCATGCCAGGGGAGGGTCCGAGATGCATGATCAGCGATATGCCAGGGGAGGAAGGGTTACCCTGGGGGTGAGGTCCTTGTGTTCCAGGTTTTACCCATTGCCAGGCCCCTGGGGCTTTCTGCCCTGGTGACCTTCAATCCTGGCCCTTCATCCTTGCTCAGCTTATATCTGTCTGTCTACCGCACCTACATTATAAACTCCTGTGTATATAAGCATAAGGCTGGACTAGGTCTGTGCTTCTTGCTTATTTAAGTATTACCTGGAGAGGCTCTTAAAACTTCTAATTCCTAGGTTTTAATCTAGAGATTCTGATTCAGAAGTCTATGCAAGGCCTGGGAATGTGTATTTTTAACACCCCCTTCCCTGCTATCCAGGGACAGAAAATTTTAACGATCAATCAGGTTTTGGAGGGGTCACCAGATTTGATCTCTTTGGAAAATGCCATCACTGCATATCTATTCCAACTTTTTACTTGATTTCATATATATATATATATATATATATATATATATATATATATACACACACACACACACACACACACACATGTATACACACATATGTTTACACACACACACACACACACACATATATATATATATATATATGTAATTTCAGAGAGTAAGGGAGAGGGCGAGAGAGAGAGAGAGAGAGAGAGAGAGAGAGAGAGAGAGAAAGAGAGAGAGAGAAATCAATGAGAGAGAATCATCCATCGGCTGTCTCCTGATGCTCCCTACTGGGGATTGAGCCCTCAACGTGGGCATGTGCCCTGATGGGGAATTGAATCCGAGATCTCTTGGTTCCTGGGTCAACATTCAACCACTGAGCCACACCAGCCGGACTTTACTTGCTTTCTTAATCATGGGCTTTTCTAGCTGACTGCATATAAAATGCAAAATTCCAACCCTAAAAATCATGAATCTCAGTCTTCTGACTGCTTTCACATTTATTTTTGAATACTTAAGGTTAAACATTTTGAGATAATTATGTATTCATATACAGATGTAAGAAACAATTCAGAGAGATTGCATATATCTATTACCCAATTACTTTCAATGGTTTATCTTATGAAACTGGAGTTGTAAGATAATATAACAACTAGGGCATTAACATCAGTACAATCAAGATACAGACAATTTCCATTGTTAGGGAGGAAAAAATTCTCTGTACCCCCTAAGGTTCTTTTGGCTGGCCCAATAAATTGACATAAGACAGATTAGCAAGAAAAAAAATTTAAGTTTAATAACTATACTTTTTGAGATTCCAGGAATACAGAGTAATTTGCCAAAACTACTGAAGCCATCACCTTAAATATCATCTTCAGTGAAAGACAAAAGAAGATATTGAGGGTAGGGGGAATAAATTGTGGAAGGTTATAGGAAAACTCAGTATACATGGGTAAGATTGTGATAGATTGAAGCCCATGCCTTCTCCATTGATAGTGAAGGCAGGCTGTACAGTGAGGGAAACATCCTTCCTATTGTGAGTATGCTTTACAGAGGGTAACTTCTACTTGGCTTTTCAGAGCTTCTATCTTGTCTTCTAGTTTTTAAAATTAACCAGTCTAAAATAATCAACATTCCAAAAGAGGCATATTGTAGGTGGCAAACTGCTCTCCTTCACCATCAATCTGAGCATCCCTGTGTCTTAGTCTGATCAGGCTGCTATAACTGTATCATAAACTGGCTTGCTTATGGACAACAGAAATTTACTTATCGCAGTCTGGATGCGAGAAGTCCAAGATCAAGGTTCCAGCCTAATCACCTTGTAGTGAGGGTCCTTTACCTGGTTCACAGCTGGCAGCTGCTCGTGTCCTGCCAGTGGAAGGGGAAGGGGCCCCTCTGGAGCCTCTTTGGTAAGGCAGTAATGCCATTATGAGGATTCACTCTCATGGCCTACTAGTAAGTACCTCCCGAAGGCTCCACCTCCTAATACTATCATATTTGGCAGTTATTGTTTAAAGTCTAGGGGACATAAACATTCAAACCATGGCACCTAATTTTGCCTTTCTACAATATTACCTAAAGGAGTCCATTTGCCTGCATGCATCAAAGCCCAGTGAGACGCAAACAGGAGTTTGCAGCAGAGAAAGTCAGGGGTTATTTTTAGGAGGTGGCCCACACCCAGAGTTACAGGTGAGCTAATGCTCCAAGACCTGGCTCCTGATGGCTTCCGGGGGATACTAAATTATACAGGGGGGAAATCATTAGTCATGGTGACTAAGGTAGTTAGAGTCGTGGTATCTACTGATTGGTGGGTGCCAGGGTAGGAGTTCAGGGGTTCCTTGGTCAGTGCATCTGGTCCTGATGTCAGCCAAGGTGTCACGTCATCTGATTTCGTTCTGCTTTTCTGGATCTGGAACTGAAACACAACTGAAGCCTGGATGTGATAGCTAGCTTGACTGATACTCTGTTAATAGACAGAGGGTCAATAGACAGGTGATATTGTTCCTAAGATTATTGATGCTGAGCATAACCTCATTGTCCCGAGGGCTTAATGACTAAGGGAGTGGACATGCATGGAGGCAGGTGAGTCAGGATGCTGGATGGGGCCAATTTGAATCCAAAGGAAAGAAAGAAGAAAAGGTCATATGAAGGAAATGAAGCTTTTTTTTGTGGTTACACTTCTATAGCCACACCCATTTCCCCCCCCCCACTTGTACACTTGTAACCTTCTATTCCATTCTTAACTCTTGGCAACCACTGATCTGTTCACCATATCTATAATTTTGTCATTTCATGAATGACAAATATATATATATATATATATTATACACACACACACACACACACACACACACACACACACACAGATGCATCTTGACCTCTGATGAGATTACATCCCGATAAACCCATCCAAAGTTGAAAACATCAGAAGTTGAAAATGCCTCTAATACACTTAACCTCATAGCTTCTCCCTAGCGTACCTTAAACATGCTCAAACACAGTATTCAAAAACCGCTGGCTGGCAGCACAGTACACATAGAGTATCTGTGATTTACCCTGTGATCCTGGGGCTGACTGGGAACTCACAGCCGCCGACAAGCATCATGAGAAAGTATCACATGCATATTGCTAGCCCAGGGAAAGATAAACATTTATAGCTTGAAGTAGGGTTTCTACTGAATGCTTATTGCTTTCACACCATTGTAAAGTAGAAAGAAAGATCATAAATTAGAGACCATCTGTAGCTTATAATCTTTTGGAATTGGCTTTTTTCACTTAGCATAATTCTCTGGAGATTCATCAAGATGTTGCATGTATTAATAGTTTATTTCTTTTTGTTGCTGAGTAGTATTCCATGCTTTGGATGCAGCAAGGTTTAACCTTTCATGTTAAAGGACATCTGTTTTGTTTCTACTTTGGGGCTCTTAAAATAAAGCTGCTACGAACATCCGTGTACAAGTTTTGTATGAACATAAATTTTTGTTTTGCTGGGCTAAATGCCCAGTGTTGCAATTGCTGGGTTGTATGATAGTTGCATGTTTAATTTTTTAGGAAACTACCAAACTGTGTTTCAGAGTGGCTGTACTATTTACATTCCCATAGACAGTGTATGAGTGATCCAGTTTCTCTATGTCCTAGCCAGCATTTGGTGTTATTATTTTTTGTTTCAGCCATTCTGATAGGTGTAAAATGATATCTCATTGTGGTCTTAATTTGCATTTGCTTGACAACTAGTAATCTTTAACATATTTTCATGTGTTTATTTGCCATCTGTACATCCTCTTGAAAATAATGTATGTTCTCTTGTTGGATGGCGTGTTCTAAAACGCTAAGTCAGCTGTCAGTTGATGGTATTGTTGAGTTCCTCTGTATTTTTACTCGTCTTTTGTTTAGTCGTTCTAGCAATTGCTGAGAGAGGGGTGTTGACATCTCCAACTATAATCGTGGATTTGTCAGTTTCTTCTTCATTTCTTTTAGTTTTTGCTTTACATATTTTGCATCTCTGGTATTTGGTGCATATACATTTAAAATTGACATGTCTTTGCTGGTAGATTATCCTTTTATCTTTACATAATGCCCCTATCTGTCTCTAGTAATTTTCTTTGAAGTCTATCTGATATTTTCACTTATTTTTGATCTTCTGATTTGGGTGTCTTATAAATGAGGCTCTTTTTTTTGTTTGTTTGTTTTTTTTAGGAGTATATCATTCGGGTACAAAGAGGAATATCTGTAGAAAACAGCTGGCAGGTAAGCATTTGTGTGTGTGTGTGTGTGTGTGTGTGTGTGTGTGTGTGTGTGATTAGAAAAATGTTTTAAATTTTTATGCATAAATATAACTCCTATTTTTTTTATATATAAATCTTTAGCTTAAAAAAAGTCTTTGTTGTTGAAAGTATTACCTATGTCCTCTTCCCTCCCCTCCTGACCTCCTTTAGTCCACCCCTAGATCTTTAGCTTTTAGACGTATATTATAAAAGGCTTTTCTATTGTTAGTTATTTGGTTTAGTTTGTATATGATGTTACCATGGAGCGTATCTAGGACTTTGTCCTCTGGCTAGACCCAAAGTAGACTACTTGTTTTGTTCCTACTAGTTAAAACCTCATCCTGTGCAGCCTTGGTTTGGGTGGGGAAGTTAGGGTTCAGTCCACCAGGTAGACAGGTGACACGGTGCCCTAGACATTATACAGTTTGGACACTGCATGTCATGGACTCCCGAGTTCACTTATGGGCATTTCTAGTGCTGGTTCCCTCGTAGGTGTGGCTCCGAGAGAAAATGTCCCGAGTAGATCTAGACGTCTTTCCGATAGACTTGCAGAGGTGGCTGGATTCTGTATGGAGGCCATTTCTTTCCTGTTTTAATCATTATAATTATCTACCCATCTCCTATCTTACCTCATCTTTCACAGCTCAGCTTGACTCTTACCTTTGTTAAAGAACACAATTCCACAGAGTAAATTCGAATCCTAATTGGCTTTGTTAAGTGGTTCATGAACTGGGCAGCATCCCATCTTAACAACTAGAGAGGTGCTCTGATGAGCTGTACAAAACAGGAGGTTCTTACAAGCAGAAGGAGGCTGGGCTAAATTAAAAGAATGGATTATTTCAGGCAAGGACACCTTTTCTTAGGGGAAGGCTGAGTCTTACCAGGCAGATAACCTCCAGTGTTGATCAGGCAATTCCAGACTAACTGATTTAAAATTCCTCTCCTGGGCCCTGGCTCGTGTGGCTCGGTTGGTTGAGTGTTGTCCCATACGCCAAGGACACAGGTTTGATTCCCTAGACCTACTGAATTAAATTCTGGGTGGTAGGGTCCTAGGGGACCTCCAGGTAATTCTTCTGCACATTAACATTTGAGAATCATCAATAATGGTTGAAATCAACCTATTCAACAGTAAAATAATTTATTTCCCAGAGCCTGAAGAGCTAGTAGAACTTGGTTATGGCCTAACCTAGTGATTTTCAACTGGTGTGCCACAAGATTTTTTTTTTTTTAATAGTCTTCTCTACTTAAGTAATATATATATATATATATATATATATATATATATATATATATATTATTGATTTTTTTACAGAGAGAAAGAGAGAGGGATAGAGTTAGAAATATCGATGAGAGAAAGTCATCGATCAGCTGCCTCTTGCACACCCCCTACTGGGGATGTGCCCGCAACCAAGGTACAACCTTGGTACAGCCTGGGACCTTTCAGTCTGCAGGCTGATGCTCTATCCACTGAGCCAAACCGGTTTTGGCTGCCACAAGAATTTTTAAAACATGCAATACCTGACTAGTCAGGAGCACTAACTTATTTTTATTTTATTTTATTGATTTTATATTATTATTATTATTATTATTTTAAAATATATTTTATTGGAAATAATCCATTATTTTAATTTAGCCCAGAGAGAAAGGGAGAGAGATAGAGAGATAGAAACATCAATGAGAGAGAAACATTGACCAGCTACCTCTTGCACACCCCCTACTGGGGATGTGCCTGCAACCAAGGTACATGCCCTTGACCGGAATCGAACCTGGGACCTTTCAGTCCACAGACCGACACTCTACCACTGAGCCAAACTGGTTTCGGCTATTATTCTTTAAGGGGCACTGACTTCTGACAACAGTCAGTACAGCAATAGCCATCTGGTGTGAATGAATCAATATTACACCTTTTTTTTGTGTCAGATTTGCAAAATATATATTTTTTGGTGTGCTGCAGAAATTTAGTAATTAGTTTATGTGTGCTGTGAGATGAAAAAGGAAAGTCACTGGCCTAATCAATGGCATCGGCATAACTAAGAAAGAAGATATAGACAGTGGAAGCTGGGCTGTCTGCCAATAGGGGGACTGAGAATCCGAGAGGTGTGGGCGGGGCTCACTGCCTGCAGGCCTGGACCAGTCTCGGGGTGGTGGGGTCTTAACTGGGGTAAGTTGTAGCCAGTCAAGGATGAAATGGCTTAAAAACTGTCCACCTCCTTAATTTTGATTTTATGTTCAATAAAACTTTTTCTTTTTTTGGTAAATCGTTAAGTCATCTTTCTAGGTGCCTAGTAAGTAAGAAAGATATTTAAATGGTGATTTGCCCTGAAAAGATACATTCTCGCTGTCTCTTACCTGTTGGCGTCTTTTGAGTTTGGCTGGCAGTATGCCATGGCCCAGCCGGCTTGGGCACACTGCTAGGCCTGTTTTCTGGGCCTGTAAGTTAAGGACCTTAGTGCCAGTGCCCAGGCTCTAGGATGCCAATAAATACTAAATAAGAAAATGAAAAGAGATGGTCTTTGCTGAATTAAAACATCACTGTCTTGTCTCTTACAGATTATTAGGAGATACAGTGATTTTGATTTGCTGAACAACAGCCTGCAGGTAAGTCTCTTTTAGAACACGAACCTTGAGATGTCTTAGAAACCAGTTGGAAATGACAATATCAGGAACAAGAAATTAGCAGGTTTCCCTGGCACACAGAACAGATGTCGTGTGGCTCTAAAAATGAACTTTTGGGAACAAACATGACTTACAATAGTGACCCTGTAACCGCGTACCTCTAGGCAACACTGCATCCTGTACCGCAGCGATGGGATGTGAGTTATCTCCCTTTCTCAGGTCTGGGATCAGTGCGTGCATTGTTAGAATTGTTCACTTAGATGGAGCCGGAACTCCCTCTGATGCTGTCTCTAAACCAGGCTGCATAGTCAGCATTGCAGGTCAACGTTCAGTACTAACTTTTCGGTGTAACTTTTTCTCTTAAATATATAGCTCTAAATCCCTTCGATGTACATGTCGCCAACTTGGTGGCCATGATGGAGAGAGATGAGCTGCAAAGTCTTTGGAGACCCAGCCAGTGCTGGTAATGACCAAAGGGTCCTGGAGGGGCTTTTGTACTGAGGGAAATAGTGGCAGTTCCACCGTGTCCTCTCCTGGCAGATTGGTCTTCAGGTGCCGTGGGTTACTGAACACCATTGGGTTGTGTCATAGCTCAGAGTTGACTGGTTACACAAAATCCTTTAAACCTGAGCCAGGGCACTTGGCTTCTTACCAGCTCAGCTGGGAGGTGAAGGACTGCTCCCTTCTTTGGTGAGCTAGCCATCGTCACTTAGTCCGAGTGACCTCTGGTCCTGTCCAGGAAGGACAGGCCTGCTGGCTGGGAGGGAGCATAATGCTTCCTTTCCATCAAAAGGCCATGTTGAGGCAGTTGATCGATGATTCTCTCTCATCAATGTTTCTAACTCTCTATCCCTCTCTCTTCCTCTCTGTAAAAAAATCAATAAAATTGCCGAAACCAGTTTGGCTCAGTGGATAGAGCATCAGCCTGCAGACTGAAAGGTCCTGGGTTTGATTCCGGTCAAGGGCATGTACCTTGGTTGCGGGCACATCCCCAGTAGGGGGTGTGCAAGAGGCAGCTGATCGATGATTCTCTCATCGATGTTTCTAACTCTCTCCCTCTCTCTTCCTTTCTGTAAAAAATCAATAAACTATATATTTTTAAAATCAATAAAATATATATTTTTAAAAAAAGGCCATGTTGAAGCACATGTAACGTCCACACTTTGACATTATTTACAACACCGCTAAAAGTGTGACTGTCTTATTTGCCTTGCGGTAGAGTTGGCCTGAGTATTCGCAAGCCTTTATGTAGTTGCCATATGGCCATGCATTTGACACATGTCGTCTTTTAAAATTTTAATTCTAGAATGACCACTTTAAATCTCCAAATAGAATATTGGCAGAGATTGAATTCTCCTAGTAGATGGGTTTAGTTGGTTTCCTGTATGAGTTTTAATAGCATGTTATTTGCTGTAAGACAAAAAGCTGGGCCTGGAGGGACACTGCAGATAAGGCACCAACCAAGTGCAGTTCATTGCAGCCATGGACTGTCTCCCAACCCTTCTAGACAGCCCCACGGTGGGGTGAGCGTTTGAGGGCTAACATTGAGCCTACTGTGGGGTTTAACCTTTATGAGCAAGTTTTAAAGAAGGGGGAGTCATCTTTGTACAGTATTTACTATTCAGCCAGGGCTGAGGAAGAGATGTGGGAGAAATATTTCTCAAATTGAAATTGCCCAGGCCCAGCCCCTAAGAATGGGTTGAGGAAGAGGGTTTTATCTCCTATTTGGAGATATAAGGTTGAATGTCTGTGACTATTAAATTATGGCCTTTTTAATATAATAGAACTTTTTTTTTTTTGTTTTGCTTCAGTGTAATTTTTCCTTTTAAAATGGTTACTACGTGCATCTTACTTTAAATGCAAATATTCATGTGTATTGATGTTGGCTTGTATTGGGCAGGATATGGCCAGACAGCATTTCAAGTGGGAGGTTTTTCTGAATCCAAATAAACAAACAGAAGAAAGTACATACAGCTTTTTGGCAACAAAATACTTTCAAAACAGCCTCTATAAAACAGACCAAAAGTATTCCAAAACCACAGACTAAGACTGTGACCATGATTTCCAGTGTCTGATTACCCTTCTGATAGATAATGAGTTCCTGCTGAAGAAAGAGAAATATAATACACACAGAGTTGTCTTGAGTTCAATAGGAAAAATGCCTGAGTAAAAAAAAGAAAAGAAAAAGAAGCAGGATGTAAAATTACACATGCAGTAGAGTTTAATTACATGAAATGTTTAGAAAAAAGATTGGAAGGACATACTCCAAAATGTTAACCATGGTGAGCCCAGTGGTAGGTTTATGGGTTATGTTTTTTTTTGGTTCTTTATACTGTTCTGTACTTTCAAAGTTCTCTATAAATAAGCACATGTAAGCTAAAACACATACACACACACACACACACACACACACGCACACGCATATACAGAAAAGCTGCACTTCCCCACTTTATATAATGAGCATATTTGTGGTAATAGTGAAGAATAATCACCGCCATATTTTAAAGTCAATATTGAGTTAATGATCATCTAGGGCTGCAATTTTCAACTGGTGAGCCACAAGGATTTTTTTAAAATATATTTTTATTTATTTCAGAGAGGAAGAGAGAGGAAGAGGGAAAGAGAGAGATAGAAAAACATCAATGTGAGAGAAAAACATCCATCAGTTGCCTCCTGCATGCAACCTGACCGGGGATTGAACCCACAACCTGGGCATGTTCCTTGACTGGGAATCACACCAGCAACCTTTTGGTGTATGGACAATGCTCAACCAACTGAGTCATACTAGCCAGGGCTCCACAAGAATTTTTAAAACATGCAATACCTTACTATTTTCTCAAGGGTACTGACCTCTTTTCCCTTTGGCCAATAAAAAAATGACAACAGCCAACACAAAAATAGTTATTTGATGTGAAGGAATCAAAATTATACCTATTATTTTTGGTAGATCCGCAAAAAAAATATGTTTTTTTGTTGTTGTTGTGCTGCAGAATTTTTGTGATTAGTTTGTGTGCTATGAGATGGAAAAGGTAGAAAATTGCTTATCTAGGAAGACAGCATACCAGAAAGAACAAGAATAAAGCAGGAGTTAAAATGACAGGAACTGGGTAGAGAGCCCCCAGGCATGAGGAGGAACCCAGGCTCTGTCCTCTACCACCTCAGACTACTTTCCTCTCCTGGTCCTCACTTCCCCCTCTGAACTGAAATAAGAATTAACTGACCAGCCGACTCCCAGAGGTAGCCAGGTGACTTCTCAGGTCTGTTGTAGCACGAAAGTTTTGTTATTTGAATTTTACTGCCCATTGCTGACATAGGAGAGACTCTCCTTTATACACTAAGGGGAATTGGGACAAACTGAGGCCCTGTTGAGAGTGTAGAACTCCCTAGAATATTCATGGGGATATGCTTGAAGGCAATGTGTAGATTTTTAAGATCTGATACAGAAGTGAGAGACTAACAGATTCAGAGTTTGAAGGTTTTTCCTCCAGACAAGAGCTAGTTTTCTTGAAACTGTAATATAGCTTATCATATAATGTAGAGGCATCCACTGTCCCAGCAAGGGGCCATTATGGGTTTTAGACGATGTCTCCCATTAGTCTTGCCATTCTGCAGGTGTTATGAGTGGAAATTTGTGGGACTTCTTGCTGCCTTTCTTGTTCCCTTTCCCTTATACCAGGAACTCAAGAAGGAATCCACGGGGCACGTTAAAGAGGAAAGCGAGGGAAAACGGGATGATGGGGAGTCAGGGCTTTGAGTCACCAGTGAGGTTTCTAGGAAATCGCTGGCTTAGTGACCTCATCACCAGTGTGTTAGTGTCTCTCTCCCTCCCTTCTAATCAGTCAGTGCATTCTAAACTTTATATGCTGAGATTGGAAAGCATTTCAGAAATTCTAGGAGAAAACTGAAAGAGAAAATAAGTCTCTTAAATGCTAATCTTTTTTAAAAGACAAGATTGAAAAATGACACGCACACACATTGCACAGTTTCAGTGCTTTTAGGAATGTTTATTGTGCGATTGTACAGTGGGGCAGGAAAACACCTCCAGTGTGTCCAGCAGACTGACACAGCAGGGACACTGTGATCGCAGCTGCGGGCAAAGGACTCTGTTACCCGATGATTTGGAAGAGCTGATGGTATGCCGGGCAGATCAATACATTTTCCTAAAGTGAAATGAAGCTTGAGAAAATAGATTAGTAGAAGCTTGGAAGCCACAAGGTTTGAAATAGATACAGTAGAAAATTCATTCTCACATCCCCACCATGAATGAAAAATAACCCTACTGAGGTTTGAATCGGATATGAGGTGTCTCTCCATTCTGAGATGTGGGATTCTCCTGGGTACACTGTTGGTCAGGTACCCAGAGCAGGCAAATGTGCAGATGCCTGTTAATGGGATTTCAAAAAATCTTTGCTGTGTATATGATCAGCTTGATAAGCAAAAAGGGTTTCCTTTTTTTTTTTTAATTGAAAAAAAGTAATAGTTGAGCAATGAAATAATTTCATAGTGTAGAAATAAAGATTAATTGACCAACCCACTCCCAGAGGTAGCCATTCTCAAGCAGGTGGAATGAGTCGTTTTTAGACATTTATTGAGCATATATATCGATGTCCTGAATGAGTGCACACACACACACACACACACACACACACACACATACACACCAGATTATATTCTGCAACTTAATAAGAGAGTCTTAAAAATAAAGAAATCAGTTGTGTTTTCATTAATGTATCACCTTTGATTACCCTCTATTACTTAAGTAGAGGCGCATGGTGCACGAAATTCGTGCATGGGTAGGGTCCCTAGGCCTGGCCAGCAATCAGGGCTGATCAGGGCCTTCCAGCTGCTGGCTGGGCCTCCCTTTCCTGGCTGCTGGCAGGGGCTTTCCTTTGTTCCGCACCACCCCCTGGTGGTCAGCACACGTCATAGTGAGCGATCGAACTCCCGAGGGGATACTTCCTAGGCTTTTATATATACAGATGCTCCTGAAAACATAATAAAGTAACTGGCTTAGATGTATACCGGCTGAGTGATGTGCTTTCTTCATTAATGTGATTTTTATTCTGCTACTAAAGAATGCTCTTAGGTAAGGCTCCATTGTGTGAATAAGGAAAACAACCTGCAATGTGTGTTCTACCGGCAGTGAATTATGCCACAGTAGAAAATTCACTGTAAATGTGCCCTGCCATACTTTCTTATTTGAGAAATAGGCAGTTTGGAATTGTCAGTCAACCTTTTCATCTTGTCCAATATCAAGTTCAAGGTCTTCATTATTATTTGAAAAATACAGGGTGGAACAGGCTAAGTTAGGTTTGCCCACAAGAATGGTTTAGATTACAGCCTTGTCTGAATTCAGGACAGCCTTCTCTTTAGACCTTCCCCTTAGTATGCATGCCACTTGCACTGCCCTAATCTAAGCACAAGTGTAGAATAAAGTAATTATACTCATTTAATTAAGGTATTAATCTGACGCTTTGTTTTTAAGTACGAAAAATAGACTTTAAAGTTTTAAATGATGAGGAAAATGATAGTATGTTGAGCACCTGTATTCATTTTTCTCTTCTCCCAAAGCCACTCTTAAACAGTAAATTTGTCTGACATGCGCTCGCCTATGTGCAAGCACACACACACACTCACACACACATATCACAAGGACAAATAGGAGAGGAGAAAATTACAACAAAACATTTGAAACTAAAAATCTAGCAGATGAGAACTAACCAATTAATCGGGTTTGGGAAGGCAGAATTCTGACATGGGGGGTGAATTACCCCACTGGGTCCAATTTACACACAGAACCTCCAAAAGTTTTAGCAATTGACACCACTGGTGCTGCCTCCAGTGTGGGCCAAGGTCAAGCTAAATTCGGGAGTTGAAAACATGTTTAAGAAGCAGTCAGGCTCCCAAATCATCCCCATATGAGCATCTTATACCTGCCCTCCCTCCAGCAGAAAACTGGACCTTTATTCCCAGGAGAGGTCAGAGCAGGTTTTGGACTGGATAATGTAGGCACAGTTGAAAATATTTACATAATAAACAGGTGCATGGACCCAGCACCCAGCCCTCCTCCTCTGTCCAGTTACCTTCTTCCTCTCAGCTCCCAGCATACTGGCACTTACACTTCTGGACAGGAGACAGAAGATTCTTTTGAGGGGTCTGCCCAGCCTAAGAGGAAAGAGCTAAACACTCAAGACTAAACACTAAGGTCACACCTTCTCCCAATGAAACAGCTGAGTGAGGTCATGTGCTACAGTAAAGCCCACAGCAGACAAGCCCAGCCCCTCACCCAGAGCTCATACAAGCAGACACTTTTAACATGAAAGTTAACAACCAAATCAAACAGGAAAACAAACAAACAAACAAACAAACAAAAACGTAAGGAAGCAGAATATATGCAGTAAGAGGAACATTTCAGCCCTTGCCAGTTTGGCTCAGTGGATAGAGTGTTGGCCTACGGATTGAAGGGTCCAGGTTTGATTCTGGTCAAGGGCACATGCCCAGGTTGCGGGCTCAACCCCCAATTGAGGGCGTGCAAAAGGCAGCCAGTCATTGCAGGAGGCAGCTGATCAATGATTCTCATCATTGATGTTTCTGTCTCTCCCTCTCCTTTCTTCTTTGAAATCAATAAAAAATACATATATATATATTTTTTTTTAAAGGAGAAGAAGAAGATTCAGGCACTTCAGAAAAATTATTTTATAATTTCAGAGAGATAAGAAATTGTATTAAATTCAGGATGCTATTTGGGGACAGGGAGAGAAGAGTGCTTAAAAATAAAAACGATAATAGTAGAAATGAAAACTTTAGAAGGGATGAAAGATAAAGGAAATATCCCAGAAAACTTTTTCAGTAGGAAAAAAAAAAAAAAAAAAAAAAAAAAAAAAAAAAAAAAAAAAGGTTAACAAAAGTGGAAAATAGGAGAGAAAAGGTAAGACTAGAGAATTAGCTCAGAAGGTCCAATATTGGAAAACAGGAATTCCAAGAAAAGAAAGCAAAGGGCATGGAGGGGAAGAAGTAATGCCATGATACAAGAAAATACCAAAGAGTGTAAGAATATTAGCTGTATTGGTTTCTAGAATGAAAGGGCTGAGTATTGAGCAGAGAGATGAAGGTAGGCCCACATGAAGGCACATGGAATTCACAAACTGAAGTCAAAGAGACAGTCCTAAAAGCTTATACAGAAGGAAAAACAAAACAGAATCTGGAATTTTGAACCTTTAGCAGCACCAGAAACCAGAAGACAGTTATTATGCGAAGAGGTCAGACCTCAGCGTACTGCTTGCCGTTTCCAAAGAAATGACCCGGAGGACTGGCTGTGAGAGACGTGGGTTTATGAGGACTTACATGCGCACCAGTGGTGCTGCTGGCGGGTGAAGCTTCCTGCAGCACAGGCTTCTCAGCACCGGCAATACAGAGCACAGAAACCAAAGCACAGGGGCCACTGGTGAGGGCGTGGGGGGCATGGGGGGGGGGGGGGCGCATACTTGCACGCAAGCTGAGTGAGATCAAAACCGAGCTGTTTCTCTGCAGTAGTTCACAGTCTGGGTTCACTGTAGACGCAGTTTCTCTTTGGCCATGTCTTGACCGAGGAGCTGGCCAGGCTCCCGGGTCAGTCCCACAGCACTCTCACAGATGGCCTCCACTGTGTTCCATGCAGGGGAGGGGGGGGAAGTTGGAGCTTGGGAAGAGGCCCATGTTCTCACCTACCAGACAGCAATAAAGTGTTTCTTAATCATCGACAGAATTACCTATGTCCCCCACTTACCCCCTCTTTGTCCCTCTCCACCCAGCCCCAGCCCCACTCCAGCCTTCATCACACTATTGTCTATGTCCCCGGGCTATACATACACAGTATGCATATACGTTCTTTGGTTAATTTCTTCCCATCCTCTCCTCTTCCTCCTCTATGAGATCTTTCAGTCTGTTCTATGCATCAATAAAGTAATGCTTAGGCCATTGTGGCTCAGTGGTTGAGCATCAACTATGAACCAGGAGGTCATGGTTTGATTTCTGATCAGGGCATATGCCCTGGTTGCAGACTCGATCCCCAGTGTGGGGCGTGCAGGAGGCAGCCAATCAATGATTCTCTCTCTCTCTCATCATTGATGTTTCTATCTCTTTCTCTCTCTCCCTTCATCTCTGAAATCAATTTTTAAAAATATCTATTTTTTTAAAATTGTTCTCTTTAAAAAAAGAAGAAAGTAATGCTTAAAAATTCTGAAGAAAAAATATTTTCAACTTAGAATTCCACATCAAGACTTGCTATCAATCAAGTGGTAGAGGAAAGACAAATCTAGACACGCAGGTTTTCAAAAACTTGTCCCCCTTTTGGGAAGTCTACAGAGGATAGCTCCACCAAAAATAAAGGGAATATCTAAGAAAAAGGGTGGCTTTGGAAATGGGATCACAGGAGGAAGGCGCATGCGCCTCCAGCATGGTGGTGAGGGGAGGGCCCAGGATGCCAGCAGGAGGTGTAGGGACCGACAGTCCTGCCCGAAGCAGGTTGGTGGGTTCTGGAAGGTACTTCTCAGGAAGATGAAATCGATGCGTCTCTGCATGTGAATGTGTTGAGAAAGGCATAGCCAAGAGTTCGAGGTTGAATAGAAAACCAAGAAATAGAAAGGAAGCATGTTAGCATAGTAGTCATGGCATTTGGGCTCTGTTCTGAATATCATTACCTAATGTAAACATGAGTACTGCACTCAGTAGAGTTATAACTATATTGGAATGATTAGTGACAGGGGGTGAGGTCAGGATAGTGAAAGAACTTAATCCTCATTTTCCATGCTAGGAAACATAGATGATGCCTAAAAATTATAAATGGAGATATAAAAATCTCAACATTCCCCACTGCCAAAAGATTGGCTGAAAGAATTGAACATGACTGTCTCCAGGGTTTGGGGAACGGATATGTCATCTGGTGTTGAGGATGAGGGAGGGATGCCATGAGACTGTGAATAATAATACAAAAAGAACTGTTTGACTCTTGAAATTACATTCATATGTAAGGTTGATAAAAAGAAAAACACTTTAAAAATCAAGTTTCATAGTTGCTTTGCGTAATGCAATATTTTATGAATTCTAAGATGTATATTTTTTTCCACATTTTTATATCACTAAAATTAGGATGCATCTTGACATCTGTGGTGTCTTAGACGTAATGTAATACAATGGCTCGGGATTCTGGTATTATGTCTTATTTGGGAATGACCTGAGTATAATCCTTTTTTCTTAATTTAAGATTGCAGGCCTAAGTCTACCTCTTCCTCCCAAGAAATTGATTGGTAACATGGATCGTGAATTCATAGCCGAGAGGCAGAAAGGTCTCCAGAACTATCTCAACGTTATCACCACAAATCACATCTTGTCTAATTGTGAGCTGGTTAAGAAATTTTTAGATCCAAACAACTATTCCGCAAACTACACTGGTAAGCAGAGGGACCTGTGCTTTGCTAGAGATAAAACATGTGGCAGAAACTCTTATTTCCAAATGGGAGGATGTGTATGTTTGTTATAGGGCATTATTCACATACTAATTCTTGCCTGATTGTAATGTACTGAAATGTATAGAAAGAAGATAATTACTTCTAACATGTTTGTAATGTCTGCACAGAAAAATCTGGAAGAGAAGTAATTGTGTCTGTGTCCTTACAGTCTTGTCTTTGTTAACTTCCCTGACAGAATAGCGAGTAAAGAAGCCATGGTGATCTATACAGTAATCAATTGATTTGTATTTGGCTCCATTTTTGTATTTATAGCTGTACAGTGTGTCTGGTTTTTCTCGGAATTACTGAACAAAACAGTGGCTCTGAAGGGTCCTGCCGGTGTTCTCAGTCTTCCACCAGGATTGACTCAGTGCAGAGCATGAGGAGGAGATAGCTCCCTGGACCAGGCGGCAGCCAGGGGAGCGAGGTGGGAAGGGCACCGATTCCACACAAAGCTGACATCACTAACCTGAGCCTGTGTCCGCCGAACTGGTGATTACATGTTGAATTCACTCTGGCGTGGCCTTGAACAGACCAATGGGAATCATTGTAGAACTGAGCTAATGATTAGAATTCAGATGACTTGTTAGCGCTAAATCATGCTTAAGAGTCTTTCTAAGTGGAACTCTGTGTGTTAATAATAGATAGTTTACACGCTAGTTTTTGGGGGCTCATACACTACCTTTGAAGCAATTTGTGGGAGGCACTTTGATTCCTGTTTCAGAGAGAGGGAAGTAGAGGCCTGCTTGTCAGGCACCAAATTTTTCTGCATAACAGAACCACGTGGGGAGCTTTACAGAATCCTGATACCTAACCACACTCTGCAGGGCAGCTTCTGGTTTTATTGCTGTTTTTATCGATTTTAGAAATAGAAGGGAAGGAAGGAAGGGGGTAGGGAGAGGAGAGAGAGAGAGAGAGAGAGAGAGAGAGAGAGAGAGAGATTGTTGTTCCACTTATTTATGCATTCATTGGTTGATTCTTGTATGTGCCTACCTAGGGATCAAGCCCTCAACCTTAGCATATTGGGACGATGCTCTAACCAGTTGAGCTCCCCAGCCAGGGCTGCTGGGGCAAGGCTGGGTGCTAGGGGAGCAGGCTGGAGGAATACACCCTCCCTGCTCTCCGGGAGCTTGTACCAGAAGTATATTGAGTCACCTGGAGTCAGAGCTGGAAGGGATCTTAGAGCAGCCACATCAAGACCTACCCACTCATTTTCTAGGTGAGAGGCCCCAGGAGGGAAGGCCTTGCCTAGGATAGCACATTTGCATGACTTTGTGAGTACAGTGTTTGAGTGTTTTCCGATTAAAATGTTGCTCAGCCTAGCCGGTTTGCCTCAATGGATAGTGCATCGGCCTGCAGACTGAAGGGTCCCAGGTTCCATTCCGGTCAAGGGTTGCGGGCTCAATCCCAATAGGGGCCAAGTAAAAGGCTCTCTCTCATCATTTTGTCTCCCTCTCCCTTCATCCCTGAAATCAATACAAATATAAACAAACAAACAAACAAATAAATAAATAAAACACTGCTAAGACCTAGAAGGTTGTCTGATCCCTAGATCTCCTTCTAGGGTACCTCTCTCATGCTGCCAGTGTCCTTGACCTCCCCCACCCCCTCGCTCCCTCAGCAAGGTGCATAGTCAGGAGTCCAAAGCAGGAGGACAAGAAGGCCGCTCAGAACCCAAATACGAACTGCCATGATGAGAGGACAGACACATCCTGTGATGGAGAAGTAGCAGCTAGTGGCTGTTTTCAGAGAAATGCTGATTTATTTCTCCCTTTAAGTGAACTGTCGGAACTTGTCTAGCCTTTGGGCTGACTCACCAGTAGTCTCCGGAACGGGATGCCCAGGCGCCCAGCCTCCTCCTCTGAGCCATTCCCCAGCAAGCCGGCGGACTTGTCCAGGCTCCCCCAAACCCAGCGGTTCATCACTCTCTGGGGGGTTGTGAGGTGCTCCTTTGAATTAGGGAATCTAATTGAGGACCAGCTATTGCACAGGGGGAACAAGTACCTCCCGGTCGAGGGGTTTGTGTAGACACACACACACACACACACACACAGCCCCCTTATTTGATTCACAAGGCACTTCTGTCATGTAAAAGGCTCATTGCTTTTGTAGCCATCTTCCCACTCAAACCTCAGACTCCCTCAGAGTACGGGGGGTTTAATGTCCACACAGAAGGCAGTTGGACCAGAAACAGGAGGCCTGGATCCTAGTTCCAGCTTGGTGGTCAGCAGCATTTCCCCTCTGGCTTCAGGGTCCAGGCCTATGAAACAAGAGTTGGGGGAAGGGATAGCGACAGAGGAGTGATGAAGCTCCCTCTGGTCTTAAAGCCCCAGGAATCCCTCAATAGCTCGATAGTGGTAGGCTCCCGGATAAAAAGAGGGAAGGAGAGGTTACATTCAGACTAGGCAGGATGGATTGGAGAAGATGTTGGATGTGCAGGCCTCTGCAACACCACTTCCTGTAGATTAGTGGCCTGGAGCCCAACTGCACGACTTGGGGGGGGGGGGGGGGGGGGTGTCAGTGTTAGTTCCCTGTCGTCATCCCATGGGGCTGAGAAGTCTGAGCTCTTTGGGAAGCACAGGCATTTACTGAGTCTGAATCATCCTCCCCCCCCCCCCCCCCCCCCCCCCCCCCCCCCCGCCCCGTGTCTATCAGTGCTAAAGGAATAGAAGCCAGATGCCGTCTTTTTCATGGCTTTCAAGTTCTAAGAGGAGAGAGCATCCACACCCATTGAACATGTTTGGGACCTTTAGTTCTCGCAGCATGAAACTCCTACTGTGTGCCAGATGCCAGGAGGAGGAATACAGTGACAAGGAAGGAATAATCTCTCTCCCACCCCACCCCCACCCCCTGCAGGGAGAAGACTATGGCAGGGTAAATGGGGCAGCACCTTGGAGGGGGTGTTGGAGAGGGAGTAGGATTGCAGATTATTTATTTATTTATTTATTTTAAATCTTCACTCGATATTTTCCCATTGATTTTTAGAGAGAGTGGAGAGACAGAGAGAAATATCAATGTGGGAGAAGCACATGGATTGGTTGGCTCCTGCATGAGCCTGACCAGGGCCCAGGTGGGTTGTGGATGATCTAGATCTGAAGATGGAGGAAGGCTTCCCCGAAGAGCTGATACCTACAGGGAGACCAGAGGGATGAGCTGAAGTCAGCCAGGTCCAGAGGCAGGAGCGGAGCTCCAGGGGAGAGGGGCATTTCCCTATGGCTTTACCCAGACTAAGGTGTACCCTTCCTGCCGATGTTTCTGGTCTGGTAGAAGAGAGTGGCCTGTGAGCGAACCCCGAAGGAGAGGGACAGGTGCAGCTCTGGGAGTGTGCCAGGAGGGAGGGAAGGAGGACTTCTGGCCAAGGGAGCAGGAAGTTTGGGCTGAGCCTCAAAGGACAGATGAGCAAGAATGGAAAATGCTGAGGGGTGGGGCCACGCCAGTCTGCAGGGGCTGAGGGAGGCAGATCTGTGTGTGAAGACGGAGCCAGAGCCAGGTTGTGCGCTGGGCTGAGAAGCTTGGTCTTGACTTGGTAAGGAGATGAGGTGCCAATGGAGGCTTCTGAGCTGAGGAATGGATTCTTAGGATTGAAGTGTGTTGCTGAGTCTGGGGTGGGGGGATTAAAATTGGGAGCATAGAAGTCATGTAATTTACTTGACAATAAGTCATAGTTGAGTGGAAAGGAAATGTCTCTCTACAATTCCCGAATAAAAGCTGTTTCCTAGTCCTCAACTTACCAGTAACAAAGCTAGCACATTCCATTTGTTCACAGCTATTACCCCATTTCTAAAACACTGTACACTGCACAGTGACATACAGTGAATGTCCTTGACTAGTGAGTCACTGTTAGGTTTGAACAGACTGTCCTTCACAGTCTCTTAGAATGACATGGTACTGCATTTAGAAAGTATTTTTCACTAGAGGCCTGGTGCGTGAAATTTGTCTGCTGTTGGTGGTGGGGGAGGGGGGGGGTGGTGGTGTCCTCAGCCCGGCCTGTGCCTCTAGAAGTCTGGGAGACCTTGGAGAATATCCATGGAGGTGGGAGAGGATATTACCTCCACTGCCTCTGTGCTCGCCAGCCATGAGCCCAGCTTCTGGCTGAGCGGCACTCCCCCTGTGAAGTACACTGACCAGTAGGGGGCAGCTCCTACATTGAACAGGATCATACGGAAAGCAGCTCTTCTACATCCCCTGAAAGATCCCAGATTGTGAGAGGTCACAAGCCAGGCACAGGGATCCCACTGGTGCATGATCGGGGCTGGGAAGGGATGTGGGAGGTTGGCTAGCCAAGGAGGGACCACAGGAGGGCTCCAGGGCATGTCTGGCCTGTCTCTCTGAATCCCGAATGGCCAGACCCCAGCAGCAAACCAACCTACTACCGTAGTTGGAGTGTCTGCCCCCTGACCGTCAGTGCATATCATAGCAACTGGTTGATTGTTTGACTATCTGCCCCCTGGTGGTCAGTGCATGTCATAGCCAGCAGTTGAGCTGCCTTAACATATCATTAGCATATTCCACTTTAATTAGTTGAATGACCGACCAGACAACTGGACACTTAGCATATTAGGCTTTTATTATATAGGATGATCTCTCTCAAAGTTGATATGAATGATTTTCATTTAAAAGAAATTTCTTTTAAGTTTGTTTACATTCACATTATTTTGTAAATACTAAAAACTTATTGTATCAACACTAATGATGGAAGAGGTCCAGAGTTCCTAGTGTTGACACTGAAAACATATATGCTTCTGTCAACCCAGCTCCTCCAAATGGTTTATTATCACATGGAGCAGTTAGAACTAAGGTAAATGGAGTCAGCTTTGTAATTGGTCCTCACATGTTTTCTTCTGTGTGGATGGACTAACACTTTACATATTGAGCCAGTAAACAAATAGCTAGTGGGTTTTCTTCCCTGAACCTCTTAACTCGGAATGTACTGTAAGTTCATCCAAATGATAATGTGAGCCCAGGTCTCGGCAGGGGAACCCAGCCTAGATAATTTGGACACGTGGAGAGCCTTTTTGCCAATCCCCACGCCTCGCCAGTCTGTCTGGACTATAATTAATGTGAGGCAGAGGTGCAGTCCACAGTGAATCTGCAGAATTTGTTTGCTTTTCATAGGAACTACTAAGGAAAAGTTATCCTGATAATTTCTTAATATGGTGAAGTTCAGAGAACTTGCTCTTCTCAATGTCTTCTTAAAAGGAGGAAACAGCCGAAACTGGTTTGGCTCAGTGGATAGAGTGTCGGCTTGCAGACTGAAGGGTCCCAGGTTCGGTTCCGGTCAGGGTCATGTATCTTGGTTGCGGGCACATCCCCAGTGGGGGGTGTGCAGGAGGCAGCTGATCGATGTTTCTCTCTCATCGATGTTTCTAACTCTCTATCCCTCTCTCTTCCTCTCTGTAAAAAATCAATAAAGTATAAAAGTAAAAAAAAAAAAAAAAAAAAAAAAAAAGGGAGGAAACATTCTCATGATGAACGAACACAAAAAAAAGGGACTTTTTCCAGTAAACAGGCAGACCATCACTTCCCACAATAGGACTGTGTTGCTGCTGTACACAGACGGCTTTATAAAATGCTGGCTTTTATTTCCAGGGCATATTTAAGAATTTAAGACTAATTGCTTCTTTGTTGGTGAAAGCTATAATTCCCTGAGAAATAGGGTTGGGATAAATATCACTTGGAGCAACACTGAATACTCTTCAGGCTGACCTTAGAACACATTTTGAGTTTTGTGCTTGGGTTGGGGCCTGGTGCATACATTGAATTCTTGGCTTATACCAGCTAGTTTACATACTCTTTTTTTTCTTTAATAAGCCTTTTGCTTTGAAACAATTGTAGATTTACAGAAGAATGGCAGTGATAGTGCAGAGAGTTTCTATGTAACCCTCACCAATTTCCCCCGATGTCACATCTTACATAACCATGGCATGCTTTCCAAAACTAGAAAATTAACTTTGGTGCTTTTTGACTACAGATTTTACTCAGATTTCACTATTTTTCCACTAATGTCCTTTTTCTATTCCAGATCCAGTCTAGAATCTCACATTGCATTTAGTCTCGGTGTGTGTTTGTGTGTGTCTGTGTGTGTAATTAAGTTTTTTAAATAAGGTTATAGACTAATAAGACTTTCATTTGCAAGGATATCTTAAGCGTATGGTACTTTCCTGATATGTTTGACTAATGAGTTTCTAAAATGTCTTTGCAGAGATTGCCTTACAACATGTTTCCATGTTCTTCCGATCCGAACCCAAGTGGGAGGTAGTGGAACCATTGAAAGACATAGGTGAGAAACTGGCATGCCCATTCTGTTAGGAAAGACAGATCCTGTACTGGGTTCTCTGTCACACTTCCCTGTATGTATTCCAAGAGAGCTCTTAAATGCAGGTGATTTCTATTTCTTTTTGCCCCCCTATTGCTTGAAGATGCAGTCCTTAACTTTTACTACTTAGTGAATCTTGTTTCAAGCTCTCTCTGAGGATTTTGATGAAAGTAACATATCTTCAGCGTGGTTTAATCACTCATTCCTCGTCTTGCTTTTCCACTAAATCTAAACTGAAGTGCTGTTTTCCTGTTTCTGTGAATAAAGTAATTTTTTTTTGCTTTTTTTTAATGTAGTCTTTACCATGTCAACATTACTAAATGGTTGTTTTATTTGTGCCTGTATAGCTATGGATAATATTGCAAAGCTAAGTTTTTATTTAATTACTCAGTCAATGAAATGCATCAATCGGCACAAAAATTATGTAGCTGTAACACATTTCTGCTTTTATGGCAGGTTGGAGGATAAGGAAGAAATATTTTTTGATGAAGATTAAAAACCAGCCAAAGGAACGGCTCGTGTTAAGCTGGGTAAGCTGGTTTTTTGTGTCAGCCTCATTTCAGGGATCGTAGGTGGATTTGGGAAAGCAGATATTGATGAGGACTATGGAATTACTTTGTGCTCCTGGGTGATGTTATTAAGGCCTGGTCAGTCCCACTTCAAAGGAGCCTCATTTTAAGTCACTTTGCTTACATATTTGCTTATTTGTATGTGATTATATTTGATCAACTTAATAAACATTTGGAAAGAAAGGGGAATAGTTTTCTGGAACCCATTTGGGGTTGGCAGTTCTGCAGTTTGTTTTAAAGGAAGTACTTGGGCATTACTTGGTTATCTCTCACTTTGGGAGTCCTGGTGATACATGTGATTAATGGAATTCAGTAAGATTACAAGTAAGTTCTGCTTTTTTTTTTTTTTTTTTTTTTTTTTTTTTTTTTTTTTTTTAAATATATATATTTTATTGATATTTCACAGAGAGGAAGAGAGAGGGATAGAGAGCTGGAATCATCAATGAGAGAGAATCATTGATCAGCTGCCTCTTGCACACCCCCTACTGAGGATGTGCCCGCAACCAAGGCACATGCCCCCGACCGGAATCGAACCCGGGACCCTTCAGTCCGCAGGCCGACGCTCTATCCACTGAGCCAAACCGGTTTTGGCTAAGTTCTGCTTTTTATAGGTTTGTATTCTTTCTCTCCAGAAAGGCTGTGAGGCAGCTAGACTTAGGTGGTTTTCATCTCTGCTTAACGTTCATATATTTGGACAAACAAAAAGGGGAACTTCTCTTTTATGGCTAGCGGCAGCTCCTTGACATTTCTTTCCATTTTTTAGGCTGACCTTGGCCCTGACAAGTATCTGTCAGATAAAGATCTTCAGTGTCTCATCAAGCTTCTGCCTTCCTGTTTGGTGAGTACACGTCCTTCTATTCTTGGCGCTGATGACGTATTCACAGTGTTTTTTGTGGGCAGAAAGAGCTGGACATATTCAAAGAATGGAGAGTTGTACTGGATTTTAGTTCAGACTGAAGTTGTTCCATAGAACACCTACTGCCAGTCTCATCCATTGGGGGCCACTTAAGTGGCATTTGTAATACACAACCCATGAAATGTGGTAATTTAAATGTAGAGTGAATTTTAAGCAAATATCAGAATAGGAACTAGCCACTTTGTTGTTGGTGAAGATGTTTATATCAATGGAATGAAAAGCCTGAGAAAGCAGAACTAATGTGGGTTTAGGTAAGCTGCATGAAGGAAAGGCAGAATAACCCTTTTGCTGGCTGAGTTACTATTCTCACAGGCTAACCAAGTGGTGTTTAGGAATACCTGGCATTATTTAGGCTAATACACAGTTCTAATCCCAGGCATTTGATGAAAAGAACCACGTCAGTATATTTCAGAATAGATGCAGGATGTCTTCAGGAAGCTGAGTTAGTGCTGATGTTCTTTATCTGTGGTCTGCACGAGGATTGGGGAGTCATTCATGGTCAAGCAGTGACGCTGACCTGTCCAATCTGTTGGCAAGTTTGATTTTGAAGACAGAGTGTCTTGTCAAGCTAGCAAAACCAAGCTGTTAATGAAGCCAAGAAAAATGCTGTGGTCTTTGAGTCTGATTAATTGTGTGACACAGGCTGGCAGCACTCAATTCTAAATTTCTTTTAATGGATATGCTTTTTAAAAAGAAGGTAGTGCAGACAAGTGATACATATTAATTGCAGAAAAGTCAGAAAACACAGATAAGCAAAAAAAAAAAAAAAATAGAAGAAAGAAAGGAAACTCACCCCTATTTTCAACTAACCAGAAATACGTTACTTTTCTAGAATACACACACACACACACACACACACACACACATTCTATACATATTTAAAACCTGATTTTTTGTTAATATTATACCTTGGACATCTTTTATTGTAAAAAATATAGCATAATATCATTATTACTGGCTGCATAGAATTAGCATTGGCTATACCTCAGTTTACTCAGTGAATCTAGATATTTGGATCACCTCCAGTTTTTTCCTTTAAAAAAAATCCATAGTGAACAATTTTAGCTGAATGTTTGTATCCATCCTTAATTATTTTCTTAAGATAAACAACTAGAATCAATAAGTAATTATAGGGAGATATTTTGAGACTATAAATATCTCATTCTTTTTCAAACCCACTAATTTTAGCAATCATTGAGACTTTCTAACCCTATTATTCCTCTTATATTTATTAGTTGGCATTGTATTGTAAGGAAGAGCTTCCTCTTGCATGCGCCCCCCTCCCCCCTTAAAATATATTTTTATTGATTTCTGAGGAGATGGAAACATCAGTGATGAGAGAGAATCATTGATCAGCTGCCTCCTGCACACCCCCTACAGGGGATGGAGTCCACACCCTGGGTATGTGCCCTAACCTGGAATTGAACCATCACCTCTTGGTTCATAGGCCGATGGTCAACCACTGAGCCATGCTGGCTGGGCATTGTCCCTTTTTTATTAAAATCTGTAGGGATCAAGGGTCTTATTTATCCCTTGGCTCTCTTTTTGGGGTGAGGAAATATTCTAAAATTAGATTGTGTGATAATTGCACAACTCTGAAAATACTGAAAACTATTGAACTGTGCACTTTAAATAGAAGAATTGGAATGCTATGTGAATTATAATTCAGTAAAGCTATTAAAATGTCACCAGAAACCGTTCTTATGTGATGGTCAAGAGAAACTTGATAATCAATTACCATGTTTTCCTGGGCACACCCTTCCACCCCTCAACCCACTGGACCTCTGGTCCCCAAATCTTTGCACAGCTCAGCTCCCTTGCATTTAAATTTTCATGGTACTTTTTTGAGCTAATGGACATCGTAACCCCTGTCCGGAGCCAGCTGGTTCATGTAACCAACATTTCAGCTCATATGAATACCTTCAGTCATTAATAATTTGTCTTACTCCCCACCCACTTGGTTGACGTCAGTTCCCATCTTAAGAGGACACTGTGAGTCATCACATTGCGTATTTCAGGAGAACTGGAAGATTCATGGAGCTGCTTTGGGAAATGACCAAGTTCCCTAAAATGCTGCTTCTGCGTGTTTTCTGCTGTCATGCCCCCTGGCTGGGCACTGTGCAGCAGTGTGGAATATTGGGTAAAGCTGTGAATAAGGACACATTTATCCTGTCCCCACGTGGCTGTCCTAGGATTTGGCGTATTCTTTACCAATTTATACAGGCAGGATATTAAAATCACTGCTCCAGAAACGCAGACTTTCCATCACACTTTTGCTTAAACTTGGAGAATATGTGTATCAAAGCAGATGCCTTCTCTGTGAAGCTTGTCACATAAGTTACCAATTCCTTTTGTCCTTACTGTTTATGTCCCTCCTCCCATCTAAAGGACGATGTACAGGTTGCTCATCTGATATCTGGGAAATGCCATGTGTTCGGGGAATATCCTCACATTTTTATGCAGTAAAACACCAAGATGGTCTGAGACTGCATAGCCAGATCCTGGTGTGAAAGGACCTATGTGCCGAAGCAAATAAACGTGACTTCCTTTCTTGTTTTGGCAGCACCCTTACATCTATCGGGTCACCTTTGCCACAGCTAACGAGTCCTCAGCATTGCTTATTAGGATGTTTAATGAAAAAGGCACTCTGAAGGACCTGATCTACAAGGTACTTGTGGTACAAGTTCATGGTCGGAAAGAAGTTTTCAAGTCCCTTTGGAACCTGTTATATAGATGCTCTATCCCTAAGGTTCAGGAGCTGAGGGTGTTATTTTAAATTTATCTTGAATCTAGTAATAAATATTATTCAGTTTGGTTAAAAAGCATTCCCTTTCCCACATGAGGGGAGGTTTAATGATGATGTCCATTGCATTGGATTCATTTTAAAGTTGTGTCTTTCATTTAACAAAGCAATATCAAACTATCTCAAAGTTGGGGGAAATTTTTTTTAAATAATAGTGAAACATTCTAACAGTATATAAGACTTTGGGGTCAGCTAAGGCTAAGGCAGGCACATCTTCACTGAACAGAAAGGGGATGAGACCCAGGCCAGCCTCTTCCTACCCACTGCACGGACTGTAGTGTTTTAAAGCCCGCCTCCTGCACTGCAGCCCCCTCTACTGAGCCTGTCTGCAGGGAGCCTGGGAGCAGCTGACCTTTCTACTGCTGCTCTCTTACGTGCTCTTTGTTTTTCTCCAAAGTCAAAACCAAAAGACCCCTTCCTAAAAAAGTACTGCAACCCTAAGAAGATTCAAGGCCTGGAACTCCAGCAAATAAAAACATATGGGCGGCAAATATTAGAGGTAAGAGGTGTTTAATTTTTAAGTTGCATTGGAATTTCACCCAGCATTCCAGTATTCTTTTTTTTTAATAATTTTATTGATTTCTTAGAAAGAGAGGAAAGGAGAGAGACAGAAACATTGATGAGAGAGAAATACCATCAATAGGCTGTCTCCTACACGCCACCCACTGAGCATCAAGCCTGAAACCCCGGGCATGTGCCCTGACCTTGGTTTATGGATGGATGCTTAACCACTGAGCCACTCTGGTCAGGCATGGAAAGTGCTTAAGCAATTTCCAAAGTAGTTCAAGTCGTCTGATTGTTTATAAACTGATGGCATTGCCAAAAAAGCAAACATTTGAGACAAAGACTAATTCAGAGCTACAAAATTCCAAAAAGCTTCGCTGCTGGACTCATGTCTGACTTTTAAGAACTTAACTATGTGGGCACCAACCTTTGTGTTATTTTGGTTGATTTTTATCTGTGTGACAAGATTTTAAAAAAAAAATGTTTTTATTAATATCAGAGAGAGAGGGAGAGACAGATAGAAACATCAATGATGAGTATCATAGATTGGTTGCCCCCTGCATGCCCCCTACTGGGAATAGAGCCCAGATCCCTGGCATGGGCCCTGATCGGTAATCGAACCTCTACCTCCTGGTTCATAGGTTGACACTCAACCACTGAGTCACGCTGGCTGAGCTGTGCCAAGATTCTTGATTTTGTTTTATATATATGTGTGTGTGTGTGTGTGTGTGTGTGTGTGTGTATATATATATATATCCATCCATCCATCCATGTGGCTCCCTTACAGAGGTGCAATTAGCATGAAAGCCTTTCCCACATCACATCAGAACAGTGTTCTCCAGGCTCTCTGTGCACCCTATCAGCAAATACAATTTAAGCACACAGCCCCCCCGCCCCCCCAGTGTTGCATATATTTAACTGTTATCTTCATGTACTTAACATACTTTGTACATTGTATGTTAAGAGTGAGATCAGAAACAAAACAAATAGAGAAATTGTAATGCCTTTTTCATTTCTCATGGACCGTCCTGGGCACCTTTACTCCCAGGGGAGCCTCTGTTCATTACGTGGCAGCTGCGAAGGTTGCTTCATTCTGTGAGAGTCTATCATGTGTTTCTGTTAATGAGCAGCCAAGTGTATTCTTTTTTTTTATTATCATTATTTTTTTTATTGATTTTGTACAGAGAAGAAGGGAGAGAGATAGAGAGTTAGAAACATCGATGAGAGAGAGTCATCGATCAGCCGCCTCTTGCACACCCCCTACTGGGGATATGCCCGCAACCAAGGTACATGCCCTTGACCGGAATCGAACCCGGGACACTTCAGTCCCCAAGCCGACGCTCTATCCATTGAGCCAAACCGGTCTCGGCCAGCCAAGTGTATTCTAAGGTGAGATTGGACCAGAGATGTTTCCAGTTCAGCCCCTTTCCTTGAACAACTCGCCGGAGCACTGCCCCGCTAGCTTTAATCCTCCAGGAGGAGGTCCAGACTCTGCCCTGAAGGGGCCTTGGCCTGTTGGGATGAGAAAGTGCTTAAACAGAGGCCTTTGGCAGAAAGCTGTTAACCCCGGACAGACGCAGCCGCCTCTCTGTGCTCTGGAAGCGAGGGAGCGTGGCATTGCGTCTCACAGCTGGAAAGCTCTCAGCAGCAGCTTCTTCTAGAGGAGTGGGCGGAGGGGGCAGTTTTCTTTAGGAATCTCCCCACTGACGGGTCAGGTTTTGTTTCAAAATATATTGACTTAAAAAGCAAAGCTTAATCTATCTTATATCTGAATGAGTTGGGGGAAATGTAACCTGTACGTTATTTTTTTTAAGGTGCTCAAGTTCCTACATGATAAGGGATTCCCTTATGGGCACCTCCATGCCTCCAATGTGATGCTGGATGGGGACACGTGCCGGCTGCTGGACCTGGAGAATTCCTTATTGGGCCTTCCCTCCTTCTACCGATCTTACTTCTCACAATTCCGGAAAATCAATGTACGTTGCTGAAAGTAATGAAACAGCAGGTGCTGTGAGGTATAAATTATCCCCGTGGCCAGGCCCCCTGACCTGCCCATGTAAGGAAGGTGCATGAAGCGGTGACGGGTGCAGCTGGGGTGGGCCATGCCCGTGGCTGTTTCCCCCACCGAGCGTCGCCGTATCTCCAAGGGGCTGAGCTGTAGCAGTCGGTGGGACAAGGGGGCATAGGAAGACCATGGGGGTGGGACCGCGACCTTTGGTCAGAGCCATGCCTCGTGAGCTGCGTCTTCACTGCCCACCAGGAGCGGGGTCAATCCGGGCCGTGTTTCCCAGGGGAGCCGAGGGCAGGGCACTGGGGCTCACAGAGCGGAACTGAGCAGGGACCTGCTGCTCTCTCTCCTTCCACAGACGTTGGAGAGTGTGGACGTCCACTGCTTCGGCCACTTACTGTACGAAATGACCTACGGACGGCCCCCGGACACGGTGCCTGTGGACTCCTTCCCTGCGGCCCCGTCTATGGCTGTGGGTCAGTATGGGGTTTTGGCAGGGGTCTTCCGGGCCCTGGTCATCTGCAGAGCGATTCCCCCCCTTTTCCAGAGTCCAGGAAAGACCCAGAGGAAGCTGTCATGCTTCGCAGCCAGAAATTTTTATCCAATTTGGAAGCAAAACCGTTCCGAGTCGTTCACTTCCATGGTTTCCACTGAAATTTCAGATGGCTTGTCCCTTTGTCAGGCTCTCTGAGCCAGGGGAATTTTTGTAGCAGGCATTAGACTCTGAAAGGAGCATGTAAAGAGGTGTGGCCAGGCTAGGTCTGATCTGGAAGCAGAAGCCAGGATCAGGCCATTTGAAGCCATTCTTGAGGGCTCTGGCAGGTGTCAGGGATCAGACCAGGGCTGGACTGTACCCGCCTGGGACAGGGGGCCCATGGGCGGTCACCTGGGCTATGGGAGCCCAGCAGGCCCAGAGCGAGGAAAGGCAGACAGGAAAGCAGACACTGGCAGCTGAATTCAGGAGCTCCCAGCATTACCTGGGGGACTGAGGAGAGCTGGGGGCCGGCAGAGGCACCGTTAGGAAGGAGGGATGGGGAGCCGATAGAGACTCACCAGGCGTCCTCTCATCCCCTCCGCGGCCCGCTCAGCTCACTGCTGGAGCACAGAGGGGAGGGCAGGGTAGCTCCTGCACCTCGGAGCCTCGAGGTGTGCAAGTCAGCCCTCCACCAGCTGCTAGTTTTGTGTTCAGCGAGTTGGTTCGAGACTCTTGAATCACGAGAACAGGCGCCGAGGCTGCTGGGTGTGGAGTTTGCACAGCTGACCCGGGACCTGAGGAGGAAAACCTGGCTGCTTGTTTATGTCAGCCAAGGTGTCAGCATTTTGCGTGCTGTTTTTGATTGAAAGCAGGCCACCAGCAAAATGACTTTGGAACTCAGAATTCGTACTTCTGTTTAGTGTTTACTTCTCTTTTCAGAGAGCAGTTTTAGGAATGCTATTGTGAATCCTTCCCCCCACTGTCTTTGAAGTCTGTTTGGCTCTCTGTCGGCGTGTGGTTTCTAAGCGGCTTAGTTTGAGTCATCGGCAGCCAGAGCTGCCAGGGTCTCCGCCCTGCGTCCCCCCTCTGTCTGCGAGGAGAGTTTTGACGCTGTCCCAGTCAGCCCGCAGACAGTTGTTGCAAAGCGATGTCAAACTTTTCATCGCCGGGTGACTTGCCAGCATGCTCTGTGGAACTAAAGTGTGTATCTGTTCATTTCAAGTGGCCGTGTTGGAGTCTACGCTGTCTTGTGAAGCCTGTAAAAATGGCATGCCTACCGTCTCCCGGCTCTTGCAGATGCCGTAAGTGAACCGCACGCCTTGCTTATGTGCATGACTGGGTGAACGCCGACCACCAGCCCAAGCACCCGGTGCCCTAGCAGAGACTCAGTGGTGGTCCTTGCTGGCAGTCCCTGCAGCATGCTGTCACGACCTTTCCTGGTGACCTCTGTGTGTGCTACCTCAGGCTCACGGCTCTCCTTTGACCACCTCGTGTGCGTGTCTCTTCCTGTCCGTGTGAGCATTGTGTGTGTGTGTGTGTGTGTGTGTGTCCGGTGGCAGCCCCCCTTGGAGGGCCTCTCACGCGCTGTCCTCCAGGAGCCTGTTTCGGGCACCACTGGGCCAGCTGTGGCTGGCTCATGAGCCACTGGCCTTGGGTCAGCCCTCTGTGCGGAGGGCGTGTGTTTCTGGCAGCCTGTGTACTGGTTTGATCACTTTCTCACTGGGTGATGTTTACTGAACATCTGACAGGGACCAGGCACTGCACAGGGCATACAGCTCAGAAGACATTCACTCCACACGGGGTGTGAGGAGGCAATTAGGGCAGTTGAAATAGTGCTTCGGACCTTTCCTATAGGTACATTTTCTGTCCCTTACTGGAGAGGCAGTGGGCAGGGAAGAAAGGTGTGTCACACCTGATGCTTCTACCCTATGCCCTTCCTTGATTCATTGTCCCCAGCTTTAATAAACATACTCTCTCTCAAAAAAGAAGAAGAAGAAGGAGGAGGAGGAGGAGGAGGAGGGTGTGTTTGAGATTAGACGAGGAGGAGGAGGAGGAGGAGGGGGAGGAGGAGGAGGGTGTGTTTGAGATAAGACGAGGAGGAGGACGAGGAGGAGGAGGGGGAGGAGGAGGAGGGTGTGTTTGAGATAAGACGCACCTGGGGGAGAAGAAGAAGAAGAAGAAGAAGAAGGAGGAGGAGGAGGAGGAGGGTGTGTTTGAGATTAGACGCACCTGGGGGTGGACCCAGCCTCACCACTTCTACCTGGGGGACCTTGGGCAGGTTCCCTAACCTCTGGAAGCTCAGTCTCCTCATCTGTACAATGGGGACGATAATAGTCCCCATCTCACAGGGTTCTTAGAGGGTTTAATGAGATGATTCCCAGGACCGTGCCTGGCACTTAATAAGTGCTTATTAAATGTTAGCTGAGGTTACTACTGATTCAGCTTCTATTTTATTTTGTGAGCATCTCGTGCCATGGGATGCGCCCAGAGCTTGGTGTGCACCAGCTTGCTGTAAAAGGACACAACGTGTTGCGGAAGCGGTAATGGGAAACAGGCAGGGACAGTGAGAGGTGCACACCGCGGAGTCCCGAGGGTCTGCTAGAGCCCAGGCCCCGCGCTAGGCCCTGGGGACGCCGTGAGGAACAGCAGCCGCGCCCTGTCCCGTGGGTGTGACAGCACCGTTAATGACGGTGTGCGTGGGGAAGCAGATCCAGTCAGGGAAGCAAAGCGGTTCTCATGGGCTTTCAGGACAGACTGCATTTGTCGTTGGAGACAGCCTGTAACCAGGTTAACTTACTTCGGTTTGTATCTCCTCCCAGTCCTCCAGCCCTAAAGTGGGTCCAATAGTGCTCCTTTACGTACGTCTTTCTGCCCCGTGGCCTTCGGCCTTGAGAATGGCACTTGGGGGGGTGTGCACTGTGTCCGGTTCAGATGTTGTCTGGGAGTAACTGGACCAGGGCCCTGGTGGGGAAAGGTTAGCCTGCCATCTCTCCCTGCCACGGGGTTCCTGATGGTAAAGGGGAACTGGTCAAGGAAAGCCTCCCTCACACACCTCCGGGCGCTGCCCAAGCAACTTCCACTCTCCGACCTGCTTTAGCCAACACAGCCCAGAATTCCTCAGGCTGTAGTTTTTAATGCATACTTTTGAAGAGAAAGTAGTTATGTCCTAAAAGCTGCTCTTTCTTTTTTAAGAGAGCAAGAAACACTACTTTTCTTAGAAGAAAATTATTTTCTCATTAGATTTTAATCAGAGCAATTGCTTTCTACTTACTTGCATGTTTTTATGTTAATGAGTTCTAGAATAAATATTATCCTCCTCTGGGACTGAAAAAAGGAGGGGGACAGTTATTTTATCCAGAAATATCTACTGCATATATTATTTTAAGTGTAAATTACTGTACAGCATGAAAGGGTTAACCTCAGCTGACCCAGTGCCCTGGAAACCAGTGGGGTTTCCCCCCCCCCCCCCCCCCCCCCGCCCCCCGGCCTCGCTGGGTGCATTGGATGTTGTGAGTGTGATATAAACATGAAATGGTGGGTGGGGCCAGGCTTGGGGCGGGGAGAGGGATGTGGGACTTTGTGGCTACAGATGTCTCGTTCTGCTTTGATCATCTTCGGAGGGTGCACCTGTTTTAAGAAAGATTCTGTTTTTGTGTTTTCCTTCTCCTTACAGATTATTCAGTGATGTTTTCCTAACCACTTCTGAAAAGCCACAGTTTAAGGTAAAGCAAATCATATCATGCTTTGGTTTATGACATGAGTTGACTTTGAAAGTGAGCGCTTTTTTTAGTTAAAAAAAGAGAAGGTCTAGTACTTACAATAAAGAAAATTTGAAAACAATCTAAATGTCCTACAATTAGAGAATAATTTAATAATTCATACTGCATCTAGTTGATAAAGTATTTTTTAATCTAACAAAAGTAAAATTTACCAAGACATCGCAGTAGCATGGAAAATGATTATTATTTGGGCCAAGGAGGGAAATGGTATAAATACAGCTTAGAAGAAAATGCTGTCAGCCTGAAGGGGGTGTCTGGGGTTGTGGTGTGTGTGGTGTGGAGCGAGGAGGGGCTTTGGTGCCCCGAACACCAGGTTGATGCCTTACTTTGCTTTTTAAATACCAGCCATTTACCTAAGGAGGGTTTCTCAGCCACGGCATTTGACGTATTGGGCCAGGTAGTTCTTTGTTAATGGGGGCTGTCCTGTGCATTGTAGGATATTAACCACCATCCCTGTCCTGTAACCACGGGATGTGACTAGTACTGCCCCTGCACCCCACACACTGTGACTATCAAAATTGCCTCCAGCCGTGGCCAGGTGGCTCCGTTGGTGGGAGCATTGCCCCGTATACCAAAAGGTTTTGGGTTAGATTCCTGGTCAGGGCACATACCTAGGTTGCGGGTTTGATCCCCAATTGAGGCACATATAGGAGGCAACTGAGCAATGTCCCTCCCGTCCTCCCTCTCTTGGCCAGGACAGGATTCAAGTGGACAACTTGTAACTGATTTCATTCCAAACGCCCTCCCTCTTGATAACCAATCACTCCTTCTCTAAAACCAGGATTTGGGAGCATCTCCAGTCGTTTTCCTCAATAAATTATCTATTTCTCTTTCAGATCCCTACAAAGTTAAAAGAGGCATTGAGAATTGCCAAAGAATGTATAGAAAAGAGACTAATTGAAGAACAGAAACAGGTAAATCTCGCATAGTTCCTTATTGCTCTTTGATCTGTAAATATTGTCCCCCTCTGCCTGGAATTTCTGATGATTCACTTATGTATTTATGTATTTATGTATTTATTTATTTATTTATTTAGGTAATACTTACCCCTGAGGAGTGAGGATATTTTTTTCCATTGATTTCTATGAAAGCGGTGGAGTGGAAAGAGAAGAGAGAGAGAAACATCAACGTGAGAGACACATTGATGAGTTGCCTCCTGTTCAAGCCCAGACCAGGGACAGGGATTGAACCCACAACCCAGGCACATGCCCTTGAATTGAATCAACAACCCTTCGGTCTGTGGATCGATGCTCTAATCACTGATCAAACTGGCCAGGGCCAGTGATTACTTTTAACTGATTGTTCAGGCAACAAGCATTTCTTGCTAGTTGCTCTGAACCAGGCTCCAGGCTCAGTGCTATGAGACAGGTGAATCCTTCATGTCCTTCCTTGAGGAGCTCAGCCTGCTGGGAAATAAGCAGATCCATAAAGGGTGGATCCTTTATGATCGGGACAGCTGGATCATGGTGGGCATGCCTGGTCCCTGCTCAGAGGTGCTGGGGACCACACTCATCTTCTGTGTGAGAGAGGAGGCAGGAAGGAACTGAGGGAAGTGAGGAAGGTCTCTTCCCCCCAACCCCCCAGGCTTACCCTTCTCCAAGGCATCCAGTCCTGACCTTGGGGTAGGGGAAGACTTTTCATCCAGACAATTCGATTCGGCAAAACACAGTAGGTTTCCATTGGTTCACTTACGTTTGTGGCGAATTGCATTCTCTTTTAGATTCACCAGCATCGAAGACTGACAAGAGCTCAGTCGCACCATGGATCTGAAGAAGAAAGAAAGAAGAGGAAGATTTTAGCTCGAAAGGTAAGCCTGAAGGAAGTTCTAGGCTAACGGTGCACATTTAGCGAAGGGCAGATTTTGTGCTATATCTCCTGGAAAGCCAAAACTAGTAGGTGACTTTTATTTATTTATTTTTAATATATTTTATTGATTTTTTTTACAGAGAGGAAGAGAGAGGGATAGAGAGTTAGAAACATCGATGAGAGCCGAGGCCAGTTTGGCTCAGTGGATGGAGCGTCAACCTGCGGACTGAAGGGTCCCGGGTTCGATTCTGGTCAAGGGCATGTACTGTGGTTGTGGGCACATCCCCGGTAAGGCGTGTGCGGGAGGCAGCTGATCGATGTCTCTCTCTCATTGATGTTTCTAACTATCCCTCTCTCTTTCTCTCTGTGAAAAATCAATAAAATATATTTTTTTTAAAAAGAAAGAAAAGAAACATCGATGAGAGAGAATCATCGATCAGCTGCCTCTTGGACACCCCCTACTGGGGATGTGCCCGCAACCAAGGTACATGCCCTTGACTGGAATCGAACCTGGGACTTTTCAGTCCACAGGCCGACTCTCTATCCATTGAGCCAAACCGGCTTCGGCAGTTCACAGCTTTTAAAAAGGAGCGACATAACATCAGGAAAGAAATGGGCCGTAGTCTCCTGGCTGCCTGGCTGATTGTGGCCGAATGTACCTGGGGCAGTGATTGGCCTGAGATGGTAGTCAGCAGGGTTGTGGTTATTTTCCCCTTCGGCTTTGGCTTGTGACTTCTTCTCGGTGTTAAGTTACGAGGCTGAATATGACCTTGTGTGTGGATAGTTTAACTGCGTGCCTAGAAAATATTTTTATCCTAACTCTCAGCTTCAGTGTGCTTACTCTCTTTTCTCTTTTTACTTTTAAAGAAGTCAAAACGATCTGCCATTGAAAATAGTGAAGAACATTCAGCAAAATATAGCAACTCCAATAATTCAGGTAACTGGTTATGGATTGTAGGGGAACCAGCACCCCCAGGCTGGGGGACCAGGGGCCTGTAGTTGGTCTGGGGGTCTTGGGTTCTGGTAGCCAGAGTGTGGCCACAAGTGAAGAAAACAAAAGCATTCTGTCCCTGAAGGATGTGGCAGCATCAGGGCTCACACAGCTCGAGGGCTGGATGGGACCTCAGGGCCCTGGGTCAGCAGCCTCCTCACTAAGGGCGGCGCCACAGTGTGTGGGCTGGCAGAGAGCATCGTTCCAGAGGGCCCGCGGTGAGCGCGCTGTCCTGGGCTGGCAGTCATCCCGCCACTCCTGGCGGCCCCCCTCCCAGCGCCTCAGGCTTGGGGCCTCAGTGTCCCCCTCTCTGGAGATTAGGGCCAAATTGATGATGCCTTGAGACCTTCCAGGTCTCCTACCCACAAATCAGCTTGAGCTTAGCCCTGGAAGGCCTAGGGAATGGGGAGGTTGCTTTAGGCTCAGAAATAGCTTCATATACTTAAAAAAAAAAAAAAAATCCTCATCCAAGGATATGTTTTTTTCTTTGTGTTGATGATGTTAGAGAGAGACAGAAACATCGATGTGAGAGAGAAACATCAATCAGTTGCCTCCCTTATGCACCCTGACTGTGGGTTGAACCCGCAACCTAAGAATGTGGCCTTATTGGGAATCAAACCCACAACCATTTCGGTTACTGGAACAATGCTCCAACCAACCAAGCCACCACAGGGCTAGCTGCATATGCTTTTAGGCAGGAGGAGGGCCTAGCAGGGAGAGAGAAACTCAATATGCAAGAGAGAGGGAACTGGGGTGAAAGGTCTCGAAAGGCCCAGGACTCGGCATCAAGAACCCAGGGGTCAGTCTCGGCCTTGGAGGAAGCCCATCCATCTCTTCCTGGGGGCAGGAGCCAGGAGGGGCAGGCGAAAAGGTAGAGGCATTTAAAGGCAACGGAAGGGAGGAAACTGAGAGAAACTTTGTCAGATCTTCTCCAGGAAGTCAGGGAGGAGGGCCTGTGCCAGGTGAGGGGGTATGGGGTGGGGAGGGGAGGAGCATGGGGAGAACCCGAGTGGCACACAGGCAGGCTAGCCCCGGCCAGAGAATGCAGGTGGAGTGGGCGGAGCTAGGAATGAGAAGAGCTGGGAGGAGAGTGGACTCCTCAAAGAAGGTGAGAATCATGCTGACTCCACTGCCTGCGGAGTCCAGGCCAGAAAAGGGCGTGGGGTGGTGGGAGAGGGTGGGGGGAGGAGACTAGAAGGAAGGAGAAGGAGGGAGGCCAGGCTCTGGAGGTCCCCGTGAGGACGCAGGCAGGCTGCATGCGTGTGGAGGCTGCGAGGGGAGAGGGCTGGAGGATGTTGTGGCCTGTGACAATTCCACAGCTGGAGGTCTGTTTCCTCCACGGTGGATGGGACGGACATGGCCGGTCACTATCGTCCCTAGGACCCATGTCTCCAACCAGCATGTCTGACTGGTGGTCCTTCTGCGCAGCAGCCAGTTTCTTACAAAGCAGAGAAAGCCTGGCTGTTTCACACCTTCCTGAGGCAGCTGCCTGCCTGCGAGGCCTGTGCCAGACGTGGCAGAGGGTCCCGGGGACTCCGAGGCGCCGTGCCCTCGGGAGTCTAGGAGAGCAAGCAGCGGTTGATGGAAATGGGCAGACCTTCTCCACATCCCACGGGAACCACGAGTTCAGTCTTCTCCCCTTTACCATCCAGCTGGCATGCCAAGCAGTAGGAAACAGGGCGGCTGAGCTCTACCTCCTTTTCCGGTAAAACGCCTCGTAGTCTGTGGGGAGGTGAGAGAAAGCGGAGACAGTGGGAAGGAGGGTGTGCGGGAGGACGTGCCTCCTCGTGCCCAGTGCCCGTGCCGGGTCAGTGTGCCCTGTGGGCAGCGGGGGAGGGGATGGTGCAGGCTTCCCCAGAACAGCCAGCGGGCGGGCGTCTGGGGCATGGTCACAGCCCTCCCTCCGCGGTGGTTAACCCTCCGTGTGGGGGAGGCGGCTCCTGGGGGAGCCTCTGCCTGCTCATCGGGCTACTTCCACGTGAGGCCCACAGGGTGTGCTCTGGCGGTTGCTGAGCCCTGGGGAGATGCTGAGAACTTGGGAAGATTTGAAATACAGCAAGGTGACCGGGTACAGAAAATGCATGCGACACAGGGGCGTATGCACATTGTGTTAAAGTAAATAAGGGTATTCCTTGAATTTTGGGTAAGAAAAGGCCAGGAAATCCGCACACAGAATAGCCTGCCCCTACCTAACGGATGTACCTGCGGATGAAATGGAGCTTGTACACAGCATTGCTGGTAGATGCTGTGGGCACTCTCCCCTCCTAAGATCGCCTCGCTCTCTGGCCCTGCCTGCTGAGGCACTGCCGTTTGTCATCTGTGACCAGGAAAAAGGGGCGTGGGTCAGGAAGCGGGGCTGCAGCCAAATGCATAGCTGGTGGCTTTGCAGAGTTGGTTTCAAATGAGCAACCGGTGGGGAGCAGCACAGCCCTGACCTAGCCCTGTGCTGGTTGGGAGCCGCTGGTCCCTGGTCCAGGCCCTGAATTCTCTGTCCCTCAACTTTAGTCACAAGGCCGCCCACTAAGCCCGGGCAGATTCTCCGGCAGTGGTGGCGCCCAACTCACGTCAAATTCCAGGTGTCTTTCCCTTAGTCCCCACACGCGTTTCTGTGTTTTCTCTTAGCAGGATCTGGGGCCAGCTCACCTCTCACATCTCCGTCCTCTCCGACTCCACCCTCTACAGCAGGTTAGTGATGGAGGCAAAGTAGCCTGCTCCCTCCTGCTTCCCCCCCAGGGCCCAGCTGTCTCTTCTCACCTGCGCCCAAGCCTGTCAGGGTAAGGAAGGTAGTGTCGGTCGGTCTCCCCAGAGAACCGGAGGAGTGCACGTTAGCAGTGTCATTGGGTGAGCGGAGGGTCTCCTGGGATTGCAGCCACTGGTTTTGGGGTCACTAACCACCCTCTGCCCCAGGCTGCTCTCTGCAGAAAAGCCGCTGCAGGGCTCCTCAGAGTAGAGTTCTTCTGGGCACAGGCTCTGGGTACCCGTGACCGAAACAGCAGTCGCAGCTCCGCCCGAGCCCTGTCCTTCCCCAGCGCTCTCCTCAGGGAACCCCGCCATTGTGTGGGTTTTGTCACCGAGCAAAGCTGGGGAGCACCCAGGTGTGGGAGGGAGGGGAAGAGCTGCCGGGTTCTGGGTTCCTGATAACGCTGGTCCTGATAGTTTGGTCATCCGGGTCGTCTGGGGCTAGCCTTCGTGTCACCTGGGAATTAGACCAGATACTACGAGTTTTATTAAGGAAATATAGAAAAATGTCATCTCAGAAATATTTATAAAAGTCTAATTCTGTGGTGTGGCCTCATAACCTCATAATGCTAGCTCTGCTTTCGTTTTGAACTACTATCTCTCCTCACCATTGTATAAGCCCCATAAAAACACACTGGAGCCCCAGTATCTCGTTTGTTCTTCAATGGGCCAGATGTTCCAGCTGCCAGAGGGGCTGTCTGCCCCTCAGCTTGCCGTGTGTGGGGGTGGTCGGGGGGTGGCTGCAGCTGCCTGAAGGGGGTCATTGGCTGCGGTTGATGGTGAGCTGACAGCAGCATGTGCAGTAGGTGTAAGGCGGCCCCCAGGAGCTGCCACGTACAGCACTGCTCCGCCGTGCTGCTCTCTGACCTTCCTGAAAACGGCGAGCACGCTGGTTGGAGCAGCTCATGTCGGCCGGGGGTGTCTTCCCGGCTGGCGGAGGATGGTGATTCGCTGCCAAGTGTGCTGGAGCCAGCACCTATTTGAGTCGCAAAGTACCTGGCTCGGGGGACGATGTTCTTTCCCCCGTCTGACTTTGTCAGCAGATTTTCATAAGAAAGCCCCCAACTATTGATCAAGACAGGAAATAGACTCTCTGTCTTCTGTAGAGGTGACCTGTGTACGCTGATCAGAAGTTTCTGGAAAACTTCTGCCCAGACATGTTGAGCCACTTTCTCGTAGACAGGATGTGCCTTTCACAGCACAAGGCGTGGTAGGGACAGTGGGGAGAATGGGTAGTGAGGCTCGTGAGTCCTCCTTTAACAAAGGCGGTGCTGTTGGAGGGCACAGCCCTCGCACGTGCACTGGGTGTGGTGCTGGGAAGTTAGTGCTGGTTCTCAAGTTTGAATGTCTTGGGGAATTCAGTCTATTTGGATTTTTGTGGTTGTTAATCCTCTCATTTACCTGTGATTTGGTGGGAACCATCTCCTACATAGCAGGTTTGCATGGGAAGGTTAACGTTTAGAATGAGAGGAGAAGGAAAAGAAGAATCTTGTAATTAAAGTCCATGTTGGAAAAACTCAGGAGACAGGGAGCAGTTGGGGGCTTCACTCCTATATAGATCTCCCCACAGATTGGAAAGCATCTATCTGGAAGGGAGTCCTGAGCATTCAGAGGGAAAACACAAGTGAGGCCCAAGCACAATGCCTGGCAGACATGAGACATTCTCAGCAAATTTCTTTAATATTTTGTTGATGGAATTACCGACTTGGTCCCCAAAGACTCTCCTCTGACCTCTGCTGGGCATTTATTATTATGCATATCACAAAAATGATGACTAGCCCTTGACTGTCAATCTACCATCTGAGGCTCTCTATGGGGCACCCGCAGTGAGTGTATTCATTCAGTTACTGTAGAGGCATTTATGGGGAGCCTGCGGTGTGTCAGGCAGTGTGCTTGGCCCTGGGTTACAGAGGTAAACAGACAGGCAAGCCCCAGCTGGAGTCACATTTCCAGCAGCTGTTGGAAGCCCCAAAATGATAGACACAATGCTAGCAAATGCATTCTGCATCATCCCGAGCTCCTGTTGTGTGCGGCTGTACCGGGGAGATGTGCAGAGACCCTGTGGGTGTGTTTGCTTGGACTTGCTGTGCCTTCAAGGCCTTTGCTGGGTGAGAACAGACTGTCAGTCCAGGGTGGCAACTTCCGGCTCCTCAGCCCCTGCTGAGAGGGTCCTTCCTCCCAGGGCTGGAGGCGGGCTTCTCACTGCGCTCAACTTTCTCGCTGCCTCTCGGCACGCTGCCCATCTTTTTGTTGGAATCATTTGCTCCAATTTATGTCTCTGCTTCTAGGCCAAGCCTATGGTCTAACTAAGTCAAAGAGAGTGTCTTTTAACTTTCGGATGAAATGCGCTTTTCTCAAAAAAGGAAGGGAAATTCTTCATTTTCAAGGGCTAGTATTAAAAAAGAATTCCCTGGCCAAGACCGGTTTGGCTCAATGGATAGAGCGTCGACATGGGGACTGAAAAGTCCCAGGTTCGATTCTGGTCAAGGGCATGTACCTTGGTTGCTGGCATATCCCCAGTAGGGGGTGTGCAAGAGGCAGCTGATCGATGTCTATCTCTCATCGATGTTTCTAACTCTCTATCTCTATCCCTTTCTCTCTGTACAAAATCAATAAAATATATTTTTTTAAAAAAGAATTCCCTGTTAAAGGTGGCAACTCATTGTGGGAACTCTTGGGAATTACACCTTGGGCCGGGAACCTAAACTTGAGAGCCACCACTTTGCCAGTTCCGGGATGTGGACAAGACACTAAACCTCCCTGTGTTTCTGGTTTCCCACTTGTAAATGAGGATAATAGCAGTGCCTGCCTCCTCAGGGTATTCAGAGGGTCCCGTGAGGATGAGGTTAGGACAGTGCCTGCACACTAAGCCCTCGGCACACTGAGCTACCAGGAGACTTTGAATGAGTCACTTTCATGTCTGGGCGTCCTTACCTCCTCGGTAAAAGACAAAAGGGTGGGAGTCAGGACACTGTCTCCCAGTTCCTTCTAGCCAGGCCCCCTGTACAGCTACTGTGAGCCCTGCCTTTGACAGTGCGCAGCAATAGCTCACCTTGGGCAAGGTCATTGTCACAGCATTGCCCTTTTTCCTGAAAGAGTGCATGTGAAGCACATTCATGGTGGTGAACCCGGACAACCGATGAGTCCGGTCTGCCTGTTACTACGTGAGCCACTTCAGCAGAGACAGGGTTGAATCATATGTGAGTGTTTGTGCCAATACTGGCGGCCTTATGGGAGAGCAGCAGGCCACCCACAGAAATCTGCTCTCCTGCCCTCCATCAGCCAGCTGCTCATTCTAGTACAGGGAGGGCCAGGATTACATGGGGAAGTAGGGATTACAGGCATGGGGAAGTAGGCCATACAGGCTGGGGTGGGGCTCCATTGTTTGCACAACAAGGTTATCAGTCTTTCCATGATAATAGGCAGGTCTTGAATGCACATTCCAAGGATGACTCACAGGGGCAAAGATGACTCCTGGCAAGGTTAGATGTACTTTCTTTTTTTATCTATAATATATTTTATTGATTTTTCACAGAGAGGAAGGGAGAGGGATAGAGAGCTAGAAACGTCGATGAGAGAGAAACATCGACCAGCTGCCTCCTACACACCCCTACCGGGAATGCGCCCACAACCAATGTACATGCCCCTGACCGGAATTGAACCTGGGACCCTTCTATCCACTGAGCCAAACCGGTTTCGGCATAGAATGTATTTTCTTTAATCAGAACCAAACAATCTAGGTTAATAGAGCATGATTGATATCTCTTCTTTTATTTCTTAGAACTGAGAGTCAGTGGCCAATATTCTTTTTTAAAAATACGTTTTATTGATTTTTTTATAGAGAGGAAGGGAGAGATATAGTTAGAAACATCAATGAGAAACATCGATCAGCTGCCTCTTGCATGCCCCTACCGGGGATGTGCCCGCAACCAAGGTACATGCCCTTGACTGGAATTGAATCTGGGACTCTTCAGTCCGCAGGCTGATGCTCTATCCACTGAGCCAAACCAGTTAGGGCCCCAATATTCTATTTCTGCCCCTAATAGGAGTTGAGGGTGGTTCTCAGCTCTGTTACTTGTAGGGTGGGGCAGAGGTGACAAGTTTGTGAGTGAAGTAGCCTACTCTCTGGAGCCCTTCCCAGCATTTGTATGAGGCCTGGGGCCTCACCAAGTGTTGTACCTCCCTGCCCTGGGGCCTCCTTGAGGTCCTAGCCCACTTACAGGAGAAGTATCTTTTCCCTCAGTCTGCTGGCACTTCCCTCAGGTGCTATGCGATTCTCTAAACCTCTTCTTCAGTGAGAACATTCCTAGCATTTTGTTTTCTGCTAAAGGTTGTTTCCTGCCTCTAGAACACATGTGTCAAACACAAGGCCCGCGGGCCAAATCCGTCCCGCCAGGCCTTGCAATGTGGCCCGCACCACGCTGTCATCACTGCACTCCGCTGCGTTTCCATCACAATGACAGTTTATGACTGTTCAGTAAACCATTCGGCCCGTGATTTAGGCTGGATTTTAGATTTTGGCCCCTTCTCTGATTGAGTTCGACACCCCTACTCTAGAAGGTCAAAAACTTTCAAGAACTTCAAAATTCCTCATCCTCATGGTGTCACCAACTGGTGTTTACACTATGAATTCATGGAGGCGAGTGGTTTAGGCCAGTGGTCGCCACCTTTCGGACCTCACTGGACCGGACCTCACTGGACCGCAGTGTTCCACGGACCACCCGTGGCCGCCGCTGATCTAGAAGGTCCCAGTTTACACACAGCAGTATTCCCTCCCGCCCTCCCTTTGGGAGCAGGCAGCTTTTGCAAAATATTGTCTTTATGTTTTTTAAAAACAGGTTCGAAAAAGAGTATTTAAGGAAAGCTAAGTAAGCAGGAGGACCTAGATTCTTGTTGTTTATAATCATATTTAACACATTTTGAGCACTTATTTTGTGATAGGTACTGTTCTAAGTGATGTGTAGTCATTGTTTCATTTGATCCCCATGAATACCTTCCTATGCAAGGAGAATGGATTTTTCTAGTGCTCCATTTTACAGACAAAGAAACTGAGGCTTAGTGGGGTTAAAGGACTTTGACCAAGGTCACATAGGTGGGGGGTGCTGGAGCCAGGATTAAAGCGGCTCTGTCTTTGCTCACTTACCCCACAGCCTTCCCTTTGCTCACTTACCTCACTTACCCCACGGTAAGCACTGTGTTGGTGGGAGAAGAACCCTGAAAGCAGAGTCAGAATTCACAGGCCTGGTTTGTGGCTCCACCATCTTCCAGCTGTGACCAGGCACAAGGAATTTGCATTCTTCAAACCTGTCTTTGAAAAGATTTCCTGGTTGTTACTAGGTAGATAATGTAGAGGACAAGGCTTAAAAGGCCGTAAAATCTATCAAGTATAAATAAGCTCTGGGTGTCCTGCAAGAAAACTGTAGCCCTTCTTGCTTGCAGTCTATAATTTTAAGCAATAATTTTGAAGAGAGAGAGCTGACAGTCTGTAAAAACCCAGTCGGTAAGAATGACTGGAGAGAGGGAAGTGTCCTATCTGGACAGGAGATGGAGGAGGAAGAACGGAGCCTCTGGGCCCGGAGTGACTGAGGATTTGAGTAACAGGGCAGAGTGTTAAGAAAAGATGAGGCACACACAAAGAGACAAAGTTATTGAGAACGCTGGAGTTTCCAGAATGTGTGTAGCCAGATCGAAGACTGAAACCCACTTTAGGTTCAAAATCAGTGTCTCAAGCCATTGGAATGTTTATTAAAACCTACACAGCACAGAGCAGTCACCATTTGGGGACGAACAGGTCTGCCCTGCAGTGCGCTCTCCTGCCCTCCCCAGCGCCATCCACTCCCAAGTGTGGGGCTGCTCCCCAAAGCCCTCTGCTGGTGAGGGTGGGCAGTGTCCCCAGCACCCTCCCTGCTGCACCATGTGACCTGCCTCCCAGGGCCTCACTTCCTCTGGGCAGCAGGCAGGTTGGTTCAGTGGGGATTCTGGAATTCACTGACAGGGAAAGTGTTCTCTCTTTAAATTTCACTTGCAATCTAGATGGGAAGATGCTGGCCTTGGTTGGTTTGTTCTTTCATAATAGTTTTATAGCCTTAAGTAAACTAATGCCACACCCGGCCCAGTTCAGCCTCCAGCCCCAGCAGCCTTCAGAGGAGGGGCCGCCTGCTCCTGCCCAGACGCTCCCCCTGAGACCTGCCCTGCACCCTTGGTCTTCCCAACTCTGAAAAGGTGTCTCCATCATATTAATTAATTAACTAATTAGTTTATCCTCACCCGAAGATATTTTTTCCATTGATTCTAGAGAGAGTGGGAAGGAGAGAGAGAGACAGAAACACCAAGCATCCATTGGTTGCCTCCCTTACGCCCACCCTCCACCCCTCCCATCAGAGCCCGGAACCTGCAACCTAGGTACATGGCCTTGATCAGAATTGGACCCGGCACCCTTCAGTCTGCAGGCCAGTGCTCTATCCACTGAGCCAAACCGGCTAGGGCTTCTTTTTAAAAAAATTAAAAATGTATATATCCTTATAATTTCAGAGAGGATGGACAAGAAAAAGAGAGATAGAAACATAAATGATGACAGAGAATCATTGATCGGCTGCCTCCTGAATGTCCGTCCCCTACTGGGGATTGAGCCAGCAACCCGGGCATGTGCCCTGATTGGGAATTGATTCAGTGGCCTGGTATATAGGTCAGTATTCAACCACTGAGCCACAACAGCCGGCCATGTTTCCATTTTAAATTATAGAACATTTGCTTGGAAAAAGTGATGAGTTTTAGTTTTTCTCCCCTCTTATTTAGTAAGAGAAAGAAGGATACTCAGTACTCATTCCACTTTTCAGAGAAGGAAAAACCTTCATGGGTCTTCTGAAGTGAGTGTTGTGCTTGCCAATAAGTAAAAATAGCAACTAACTGGCTCCAAAAAAGAAAAAGACCTCGGGGAAGAAAGCCACTCATTGGTTACCATATTCGTGTATTTGCCATGTTCTAAAAGGGTCACATTTGTGTACAAACCAGTGCAATTCGTGCTTAACTTACATGTCACCTAGTTTGGCAGTGAGAATAACCAGCATGTGATTCAGACTAATATTTTGCTATCTCTTACTGTTTGATTAAATGACACTAAAATCTGAATAATGACAGTGCTCTCTCTCTCTCTCTCTCTCTCTCTCTCTCTCTCTGCTGTTTTCAGTAGAGCATGCGCCCTTTTGAACGTGAGTTTCGGTAAAGTAAAATATACTCATTCCTCTCACTTTAAAGATGCTGTTTCTGAATGTGAAATGGGACCCAGTACATCTGGTCTCTGACGTGATAACAAATGGGGAAGGAGACTTGAGAACATTTCCTTAACTGAACGTTGAATGAAATGCAGCATCTTTAAAAAGCACCAAAGTGACTTCATTTACCTTCATTTCATTTCCATCATGACCTTCAAAATCTTCATTTTCACTCTGATTTTAGTTTTAAAATACAGCTCTGAAACTCACAAATCAGCTGTATGGCATTTTAGAATATTTTAATTTTGGAAACTAGGCTCTCAGAGTCCTGTCCCTGTAAAAATGTTGGTTCCTGTTACTCTGATGAAGGGAAAGGGTGCTGGCAGTTGAGTTCTTGGTTATGGAGAGACAGCTTATTGGCTTTATGACTGATGACAGGGAAAAAGTTCTTTTTCACACATCCTGAATAATTCTTGAGTTGGGACATGAGTGCAGCCTCCTCCTCTGAGACAAAAGGTGAGGCCAGATCCCAAGAGCTCCCTGGGGTCATTGCTCTCCATTCCCTCGCGGGTAGCGGGCAGGTCTGGTGGCCGTGTGGCCTCCCCATCTGTGTGTGTGGACCACAAAGCAACACGGGCGTGCAGACACCTGTAGATTGCTAAATTGGCCCAAGGAAAAGGGACCCACAAGGCTGGCGAGGATGTTTCTAGCCTACGCTCTTGATGCAGCAGTCAGTGGCCTGTGCCAGGCCTCGGTTGGATTGCCAGGCACCCATTTGGTTGGTGGAGAGGATTCTGCGGAGGGTAGAGTGGTTGACTCTTGAGGTTTTTGTCTAAGACAGAGTGACACAGAGGTTAGGACTGGCTGGGTTATAATTGTAGACAAGCTGTCTGGAACATCCCTCATCCTGGGTTGTTGGAGAACACTATTTCTCAAAGCTGTGTGAGTTCAGTTAGCAGTCTAACAGGAATGCTGTCCTGTTTTGTCTGTGGCCTGGGGATAAGGGCTATGGAAGCCTTTTGTTGGGGAGGAGCTCATTCACATGTGAGGAAAGGGGGCGCTCGGGGAATTAGGTGTTGTTCTCAGGTTTGTCTCCGGCCAAAGGGCCAACTCTGAATTTGGCCCTTGTAACCATTCCCCCTCCCCCTCTTGGTTACCAAGGTGTTGTAGCTGAAGCCCCAGTGAACCTTTAAAGGAAGCTTGTGGACTATAGAAAAGGTAACCAAAAAGTTGATGGGCCTAGAGTCAGACTGTGAACCCAAACTCTGTGTCCTTGCCTCCTCCACTTCACCTTCTGAGGCCTGGTCCTCCTCTCCCCTCCCGAGTGCTCTGAACTGGTGAGTGGGTTCCCTTGTCCTGATCATACACATCAGTGTCTGCCCCAGATGTCGCAGGCCCGGGGAGGAAAAGTGGACGTCATGGGGCGTCAGGCCCTTTGCGATTGATCCGGCCCTCTGTGGGCAGACATCGGAGTGACCTGGGGACCTTGCTCTGTGCCCCGGTGGAGCAGCCTCTCCTTTACAGCCCTCAGCTTCCCATCTGCATTACAGACACAGGCTACCCTATGGCGCTTTGGACAGTGTATTTCTTTATACCACCTACACATCCCAAGAAATTCACTGAAAGTGGTAGCAATCTCAGCCTTTACTTGGAAATGAAGATTCATTTACGAACATCACCCCCAACTCCCAAGCCCTGTGGTGGTGAATTTGCATTTTGAATTTTGAGCTCCTGGTAATGAGGCCAAAGGCAAGGGTTGGTTCCTTGTGAAGACCAAGCAGTTTTGTCGAGGCCGCAGCCCATGCCCAGGTCCAGCCCCTGCAGCCCATTTCTAGCCTCCCAGGATCCTGGGCCGGAGGGGCATCCTCTCTGGATGGCCAGTTCCAGGTCGTGAGGACACGAGTGCTGTTGCGGTGCAGAGCCTGTCTCAGCCGTGACCCACGGGGACTCTTCAGCCAGGTCAAAGCACAAAGCCGGAAGGCAGACGCTCCAGTGCTCACCCGCACATGTTGGGCCCTGGATGTCAAGTCCAGATTCTGCTGCCTTTCCTGGTCATTGCATGAAAGCGGGGTGGGGGTGGGTGGGGCTTTGGTGCTGCTCAGTCCTCCAGGCTCTGTGCTGCCGTTCTGGTCCCAGGGCTCCCAGAGGCGCCATCCCCCTTCCTCCTGGCTTTTCTCTGGTCACTGTCTGAAACGCCCTGCAGAGGGATGCTTGTGTCACACCCCCAGCACTCGTTTTAGGTTTAAAGTCCTTTTACCTTTGTAACCCTGTAACATGTCTCCACACTCCACCTGACATAATCGAATTTCATTCATTAGTTGTTATTGCATAGAACCAATAGAAACCACGTTTTGTTCATTTGTCTGTTTAATGTTTATTTGTATTGCTGTATCATCATTTGAGAATTCTAAGACTGCAGAGCATGAGTGTGTGTATCTGTGTGATTCTTCATTTTCAGCTGCCTTAGGTTTGGGTAAAGATATGAAGAAAGGTAAGTGGTTTTCTGTGAAATACAAGATTTTAACCATTGCCTGTCATGTACTTTACCTAAGTGTTCTACTGGCAATCCTCCATGCAAGTGCACGGGGTGATTGGTAGTTTCCCTGTTAACACCACAGCCCGGTAGCAGTTTAGGAGAGAACCACCTGACAGGATTGTGTAGCCCTTGGACGGGGTAGGGGGTAAGGCTCAAAACAGGTGGGTGGAGTCACTGAGAGCTGGACGGTTCCTAGGAAATGGGGCAATAGACTCTGTGGCACAGGCAGGTCCCTTGAGGCAGGGCTTTTTCTCTCCTCAGTCTTTATTTTGTCCTGGGAGAGAAGTTCATTCCATCAGTCAGAACTGTAACATTCAATGCCAGATGTTTGTGTGCCTGGACGCTGAGGGAAGTTTGAAACACCTGTGCAGCTCCCTTCTCCTTGCCCACCAGGGCAGAGCTCGACATTCCAGTCTCTCCTGATGCTTTAGCGAAGATGTAGGGTTAGTGCAGTTGTGTCTGTTCCTGGGTTGGGCCACAGTGGAAAGAAGGGAGCTTGAGGAAGACTCCTCCTCGAAAATCCCATTGCTGGGAAGAGCGAGCTCTTTGCCCTCTACTCTGCATTGCAACAGTTATTAGCTTTTTGTATTTCTTTAATGCATTCTAATAGGAAATAAGTATTCGAGATAGATGCCCCTGGGGAACCCAAAACCCTGCAGGCACTGGTGTCTTGCCAAGAATACTGAGTGGTTTGTCATTTTATATTAAATCGCATCCTTCAAATATTGTGTGTTGAAGCACATCTAAAGAACTGTTCACCCATTATTAATTGACTAGAGGCCTAGTGCATGAATTTGTGCACGGGGGTGGGGGATCCAGCCAGCTCACCCCAATGGGGGCCCATTGGGCTGGCTGGTAGGGGGCAGGGGCCACGGGCAGTGGGCCAGATGGCCCCTCCCCTGATAGGGCAATCAGGGGCAGGGCTAGCCAAGGAGAGGGGCCGTGGGCCAGCGCCTGACCCTGATCAGGGCCCAGATTAGGCTGGTTGGCTGCTGCAGTGTGCGCCATAGCCACCGGTTGTTCTGATCGCGGAGTTTTTATATAGATATTCACGTAGCCCAATTCTGCACACAGAGTCTATCTTCTTTTTTAAATCCTCACCTGAACATATGTTTATTTTATTTTACATTTTTATTGATTTCAGAGAGGAAGGGGGAGGGAGAGATAGAAACATTAATGATGAGAGAGAACTATCAATTGGTTCCCGCCTGCACACCCCTACTGGAGATTGAGCCCACAACCTGGGCATGTGCCCTTGTCTGGAATCAAACACAGGACCCTTCAGTCCACAGGCCGACACTCTATCCACTGAGCCAAACCAGTTAGGGCCAGATGTCTATCTTTGCTAGCTCAGGAAGTCAGTGGGCCTGGCTTACGTAGCTGATGGAACTTTTCTTTGGGGATCATTACTAAAATTTGGAAATGGAGTTAGAGCCTCACTCCTGAGAGAATGTCACTATATATAGTTTCATGTAATCTGTGATATTCAGTCTTTTCTCGCATGACTATTATTTGGGAGAAATAGTGACCTTTAATTGAAATCCCCCCCCCCTTTTTTTAAATTCCACTTTGATGCTTCTAGCTTTCTTGTTCAGTATTTTAAAAATCATGCAGTACTAGGCATCTTGTCCCTCTGAGGGAACACTTGCATTCTCACTCAAGTCTGTTCTGCCCAGAACTGAGTGGTAGCATGCATGCAGGGGTTTGGAGGTGATGCTGACTGTCCCTTTTTTTTTTTACAGGGATTTCCACATTACCTCCACCTCCTCCACCTCCGCCTCCACCACCAGCAGCTCCTTTGCCTCCTTCGAGCACAGAGGTAGCCACACAGCCGCAGCCCCAGGCTGTGAATGGCATGAGCCGAGGGGCCTTACTGAGCTCCATCCAGAATTTCCAAAAAGGAACTCTGAGGAAAGCCGAAACCTGTGATCATAGTGCTCCTAAGATCGGCTAAAGTTTCGTGTTTACACTTGGAGGGGAAAGTTTTGTTTTTTTTCTACACACCTCCAACCACTAAAATACCCTCTTCCTGGATGAAGAACTGCTGAGCCAGTACAGCCACATTCTGTTTTGCAGACGCTCATGTAAGGGGCTTTTCAAGAGGAAATATTCAAATAGATGATAAAATCAGGCTGGCATTGCTGCCTTAAGAGATCTTGCTCCTTTATTACTGTTTTAAAGGAGTTGTTCATCCTCTAATGGGCATCTTTTGGGAGCAGCAGCAATCAGAATCAATATTTCTACCAACTGAAACGGACAAAAACAATGACAATTCTCAGTCACAGCAGTGATGGCCTTTGCGTTGCAATCCTTCCTATGTTGTCAGGCAGCTCCTAAAAACGTTCCCACATTTATTTCTCTAAAGCATTTTCTGGTTATTTCTTAGATCAGAACTTCATATCTGCTACCTTAATTTTATCGTAGACATTAACACAGTAGCCCAAAGCAACTAAGTCTGAGAAGCAACTGATAGCTTCATTTTCCCCTCACACAGGATGGGGAAGATGTGCATTACTCTCTAATGGGAATACCAGTGTGGATATAGAACTTGGGGCTGCTAAAGCTACTCCTCTAGACGCCGTTCCTTATAGTTCGGACGTATTGAATAGACAAAACTGTTACCATCAGAAAATGGTTAGAGGATCTTACTCCTGAGCAATTAAGTTTGTGTTTTGTGGGGAATTATTGTTACAACATAATCGAATTTGGCATTTATAGAATTCTGACTGGAACCGTTTATTCAAATACATCTTTAAATGTTACTCATGTATTAGACCCTTTATCCTATAATTTGCTTAATCCTTAAATAAACGGCACTTTAAAGGATTATAAGTAATCCATTTAAAACTTCAAGTACACACATCAGTGTTGGCTACTATGCAGAGAATGTCATTGTCTATAGTTTCATGTAATCTGTGATAAATATGTTCAGCTGTATTTTTTATTAAAATAAACCATGTCAAGAAAATGGGTGGTCTGTAGCTTGGCTAAATATTTTATTTTTATTTTTTTAATATATATATTTTTTTACTGATTTCAGAGAGGGAGAGAGAGATAGAAACGTCAATGAGAAAATCATTGGCTGCCTTCAGTCTACAGGCCAATCTCTGTCCGCTGAGCCAAATTGGCTAGGGCTTGGCTAAATATTTTAAATGGGAACTTTTTGTGGGACCTTTTATAAACAAGTATCAGATCCACAGTTATTTCTAAAGTTTTTTCCCCACCTATCCTATCTCTATTTCTTTTATGTTATATTTTCCTTTTTTAAAATTTATTTTTTATTAGTATTAGAGGGAGGGAGAGGGAGAGATAAAAACACCATTGATTGGCTGCTCCTGCACACCTCCAACTAGGGATCAAGCCCACAACCCAGGCATGTGCCCTGACTAGAATCAAACCTGGGACCTTTTAGTCCACAGGCCAAACCAGCTAGGGCATATTTTCCTGTAGCAAGAGCTAGCAATCCTGTCTTGCTTTTTAAGTTAGGCACTATTTGTATGCTTTTATAACTAATTTAAACCTGTCTTTTCCATTGTAACTTTTGAAGAAGGCAGTGAATAGCAGATCCTTTTTTGCCGTGGTTTTGATTTCCAGTCAAAGGTGTGTACCTAGGTGGTAGGTTCCCCACCCTGTTTAGTGCAGGTGTGGGAGGCAATCAATTGATATGGCTCTCACATCAATGTTTCTCTCTCTCTCCCAATCCCACTTCTGTCTATGACTCTGTCCGAAATCAAAAGAAATATCCTCAGGTCAGGATTAAAACACCCCCCCCCCCAATTTTTTTTTTAAGGGAACCCTATTAGAATAGGTATGAACAAGTGATGTGGGCTAGGAGATTAATGATTTTAGATGACACTTATTTCTTAATAGAATTTTAAAACTTTCACCCCACATTTATTTAAGAGTATAAAAATACAATTAGTCATAGTTAGGAATTCCTTTATTCCTTATCAAAACAATCTTAACAGTAATGTAGATCATATGCTTTTTTTCTTAACATACAAATTGTCTTTATATATATATATGTGTGTGTGTATACATATATATATCTCTTCCATCAGGACTCTGTCATTCATACTTTGTCCTTGAGGGGGTAAAATTTTACATTGTGAGAGGGTAAAATTTTACATTAGTCTTATTCGAAGAAATAGCAATTGTAACAGACAAAAAACGGGTATGGAGTAAGAATGGAGTTTTCCACTTACAAGCACATTCTTGCCAGTACAAAAACATTAATGACTTGTAAGATCTCACCCTTCAATCCAGGTAGTGTCAGCAAGTATTTTAAATAAATGCCAATGACTTGATACTAAAGTCCAAACTAGATGTTCAATGTTTTCTTTATTGCAAATATGATGTCTTTAACCTGAGGTACACAGTTGTCTTCTAGAATCTTTGCATAAGGCATAGGGACATCAGTACCGGTGACACGAACTGCAGGAGCATCCAGGAAATTGAACGCAGGGCCTAGGAGAGGAGGAGGAGTAACTGAGGGAGCCAAGAAAAGCCAGCCGAACACCAATCCCTTGGCACAAAAGGTGTGGCCTCTGCCATCAAGATAAAGGAATACTAATTCTGGGGATTGTTTCTGGCTTTGCTTTTTAAAACATTTACCCAAAGAAAAAATGCCACGATGATAAATTGGAGGTTCAAGTCATTTGGCCTCTCCTAGCTTTTAATTTCTTTATGCAGTACCCAGGTAGACAGTGTTTAAACTATTAAACACTAGTTTTGACTATTAAAACTAGTTTCTCTCAAATACCTTCCATGATCCTGGCACAAATTTCAGCTCCTACTCCAAACTGTGGCCAACCTCCTTCCACAGTTACAAGGTGATTGGTCTTCATGACACTGGCTTCTATTGTTTCAATGTCCATTGGTCTGATGGTTCGCATGTTTATCACCTAAACAGAGAAAGTAAGAGAGATGCTTTAGAGAGCCACTGCGTCATAAATATAGTCTTATCCCCATAATACCACTTTAGGTTTCCTATTCATCTTTGGGTGTAGGAAAATCTAACCTGCCTATTGATAAACAAGATGTAAGAGGGAAAATCTAATTAAAACAAAAATCTTTATCTCTACTACAGCAGCTGTTAACTTACAGAATTCACTTATCCTCCCTCGGCTTTGGCTTTAACTTCTCATCAGAATAATAACTGCCCGCCTGTGTGGCTCAGTTGGCCTGTTGGAACCATGAGGTCAAGGCCACAGTTAGATTCCTGTTCAGGCCAGGTTGCAGGCCTGATCCCCAGGAGGGAGTGTGCAGGAGGCAGCCAATGGATGTTTCTCTCCCTGTCCCTTACACTCAGTGTAATTCTCACAACCACCCTGATGACAGAAAACACACCATCCCCTCTCTGTTCTCTGAAGTCAGCTCTCCCTCAGCTGTTTTCTTTCTTTTGATAAGTATTTTTTTACAAAAAAAAAAGGAGGGAAAGAGAGGAGAAGGAAGGAGGGAGGGAGGGAAACATTGATGAGAGAGACACATTGACTGCCTGCCTCCTACATACAACCTGTCTGGGCCAAGGAATGACCCTGTAGCCCAGGTAAAGGACCAAGAACTGAACCCATGACCCTTTGGTACTCAGCTGATGCTCTACCAATGAGCAGCACTGGCCGGGGATGCCCTGACCTTTAGGTGCATGGGAAACACCCAACCAACGGAGCCACACCAGCCAGGGCTCTGAGCTGTTCTTTCTAAGCTCCTGTCTGTCACTCCAAATCTTTTTTGAGATTTAAAGTACATAACTTGCCCAAGTATAACAAGTGCTACATGCTGGTTATAAAAGGATAAGACTCACTGACTTCTATGTGTCCCCTCTTCCCAACCTCCAGTTCCAAGGATGGATCTTAACTTCAAAAAGCAGGACTATTCTAAAAGATCCAGAACCTAGGTGGTAAAAAAAATGATGTATTTGCCAAAACTGGCTTGGCTCAGTGGTAGAGCGTCGGTCTGCGGACTGAAAGGTCCCAGGTTCGATTCCGGTCAAGGGCATGTACATTGGTTGCGGGCACATCCCCGTGTGCAAGAGGCAGCTAATCAATGTTTCTCTCTCATCGACGTTTCTAGCTCTCTGTCCCTCTCTCCTCCTCTCTGTAAAAAATCAATAAAATATGTTAAAAAACAAACAAACAAAAAAACCACACACGATGTATTTGAAAAACAGGTACCCAGCTTTAAGCAAGATTGTACACATCTAGTTAACCTGTTAAAGAACTCAAACTCCTATTTCTGGGTCTTAAATTTAAAGGGAATCTTCTGATTCTTTTAAGAACAAGTGAATGTCCACTCACCTCACATTCGATTCCCTCTTTAGCTAGCACTGCTGCAGCTTCCACGCAGTGTCCCACAGGCCTTGAGTGGGCAACTACAGTTATATGTGTCCCTGAAACAAAGTGGTCACAGATGAGAAGTCAGGTTCATTTATAAAATCTTCAACTCAACTTCATTCTAGTAATATGAGGCATGTGGCAACCTTCCTAGAAATGAACACAAATCTACTGGATTAAGATTTAGAAAAACACAAGTGTAAGAGCAATTGGGGCGGGACTCATTCTTATCTTGAACTTATCTTATACTTCCCTAGTTAAAGGGCAATACAATCTAAAATGAATTTGAATAACACAAACGGGGGCTATAATGTTTAAATGTATACTAAGTTTTCTTACCTTGCCTTTCTATTTTGGCTTTTCCAATAGGAATCAGAAAATCTTTTGACTGAGCTTCTTGGGGAAATTCAAAAGCAACTCCATACATCAATTCATTTTCTAGCATCACCACTGCAAAATATAAATATTTAAACAAAAGCAACTATGTAACTAAATAGGTACACACAATGCTCTTTTTTGAGAGTGTGTTTGTTAAAGCTGGGGATGGTGAAACAAGGGCTGAGGACAGAAGCAAGAGGTGCTTTGGCTCATGGGAAAGTCAGAGGAAAGAGGGCCTTGGAGACAGGTTCAGGTGGTTAGCCGGGGACACGATGTTGCTGCCCATTGCTCCTCTGGGTGCAAGTCTTGTGGGACCCACAGAGCTCAGGAGATTGAGAGCAGCGCTACCATTTGTGTTGTGAAGCTTCACTGTGCTGATTAAGAAGCCTGTGTCTACCGTGTCCCGTTCCCCTGAGGATGGTTTAGGTATTTATTGACTTTAGTAATCTGCTCAATCCTAATTCTGTGAGGTTAAATCATGTTATAGGTACAGAGTAAATGTCTCCTTTACCTAACTGGCCTCCAGGTAATCAGAAATAAGAAAAATATTTTTTACTTTCTTCACTAACTGTAAATCATTAACACTTTATATATGTCTAAGCCTAACAAGAAGCTTTTATTGATGCCTCCTATGCAAAGATTTCATTTTAGTTCTTCAGTGTTCAAAAGAGACCCAAGGGTTGCTCTGCTGACCTGGATTATTATCCCGAATGGCTGATTTAATAAGTCCTTTAGCATCCTCTGCATTCCAGGGGCTGACCACCTTCAAGCCCGGGCAGTGTCCATACCAGGCAGCAAAGCACTGTGAGTGTTGGGCAGCCACGCCCGCTGAGGCCCCATTGGGTCCCCTGAAGACAATGGGCACGTTCTGAAGGCCCCCGGACATGTAGTAGGTCTTGGCAGCTGAGTTTATCACCTGGTCAATGGCTTGCATAGAGAAATTGAAGGTCATAAATTCACAAATGGGCCGCAACCCAGCCTGTCAGATAAAAAACATAGATGTTAAAAAGTCTTAAAACAGCAATGAAGAGGGGCAAATAACCACTCTGCTCCCCCACATTCAAATAATGTTTTCAAAAGGTCATGTCAAAAAACCCTTTGGATGAGATTCGTAAAGATTCCTACCATAGCTGCACCTACAGCAATTCCAGCAAAGCCCATCTACAAAATAAAACACAAACACGTGAAAACCCATAAAAATAATAACAGTGTACACTTTAAAGTCAGCTTCCTGATGGCAGGCTTACCTCAGATATGG